CTCACTCACTCACTCACTCACTCACTCACTCACTCACTCACTCACTCACTCACTCACTCACTGTCTGTCTGTATCTATCTATCTATCTATCTATCTATCTATCTATCTATCTATCTATCTATCTATCTATCTATCTGTCTGTCTGTCTGTCTGTCTGTCTGTCCTTTGTTCCTTCGTTCCTTCCACTAAATGACAGGTATACTCTGTATGCCCATTTTTTTATTCACCAATGACAAGTGAAATGTATGACATTAAAACAGTGAATTCATCTTTTTTGGGCACAGTATTTAAGAAATATACCAGCTACAATGGCACCGACTTGCTTGAGTGACAAGATGAAAATGTGAATGCCACATGGGAATAATCATTGCTCGGGTGACAGAATTGATTTCACGCTTAAGATCTCCTGAGCAAATCTCAAAGCACAAGAAGCCACCTGTCACAGTTCATGAAATCAAATTAGTACCATCCATTCATTTTCGATCGTCATTTGGGTTGTGGGTGCGCATCAACCTATGTGAGCTGACTTTTGGCAGAGTGCCCGCTGAACGGATTGCCAGGGCACGTATAGACAAATAAGGATTCACACTCACTTTCACACTTAAGGAAAATTGAGCAATTGATTCAAGTGGAATTGGATTCATTTGGAGTGCCGGAGGACACTGTAGAACCCGCATCCAACTCATGCAAGCACAGGTTCAGAGACTGTGAGGCAGACATGCTAATCACTTGGCTTACCGTGCTGAACTATATTAATAGCCGGTGACCAAATTTAAGAGGATTTTGTACTGAAAGTGGCATTGTCTGTGTTACTGTCAGCTTTTTTTTTTTATTAGATTTACTTTTGTTTCATGTTTTGTAATGTACTATATTGTAATGTACTATCCATTTTCCGATCCGCAATATACTCACAAGGTGGCGTGGGGTGCTGGACCCAGCTGTCTCCGGGCAGTAGGCGAGGGACACCCTAAACCGGTTGCCAGCCAAACGCAGGGCACACTCACACTCACACCTAGGGACAATTTGGAGTGTTCATTAGCCTGCCATGAGTGTTTTTGGAATGTGGGAGGAAATCGGAGTACCCAGATTAAACCTACACAGGCTCGGGGAGAACATGCAAACTCCACACAGGAAGGCCGGAGCCGGAATCGAACACTGCATTTCCTCACCTTTGCCGACGCGCTAACCAGTCAACCCCCGGGCCGCCACACACACACACACACACACACACACACACACACACACACACACACACACACACACACACACACACACATATGTATTAAGGATGGGACAATTTACAAAATCCACGGTTCGGTTCGCATCTCGATTTCGTGGTGGCGATTTTTTTATTTGTACTACACTGTGACTTTTCGAGAAATCAGTCATGTCTTGTAGGTTAATAGTGAAAGAATGAACACCTGAAGTATTTACACAGAAATATTATTAATTATTATTATCATTATTGTATTATTTTTGACGCATTTTTGTTCATCAGATATCAAATATCTTTGCCTATCACTGCCAGCGGCGTACAGTGAAAAAAAAAATTTAATGCTCTTCTTTCGGAAGGTACACGTCATAGTGTTGCGTTGCAGTTAAAGTCACAAATCTCAAATTGTCGCCTTCAAGTTTCAATCAAGTTACTGCAAAAAAAAAAAAAAAAAATCTCGCTAAATCTTTTCCGACTTTTGTGTTTCCTGTTGAATTCTCAGTTGAATTGCATCATATTATGCTCACTTTTGAATTAAATGAACATCAGCATTTTGATTGGGGGAAATTGAACATTTGCGTGAGTGTGTGCGTGCGTGCGTGTAATGCAGCCCTGGAGGTTGGGAGTGTGGCAGCACAGGCAGGATGCTCAGGGACTTGGTTATCAATCGTTGCCTGGCAACCACACACCATCTCCCGTGTCCTCTCACCCTCCTCCTCGTCCTCCTCTTCATCCCGTCCCCCCCTTCCCCCTTCTTTCGGCTTTGTCTCTCCCCTCTCAACAAACACTGTTGCATTCATCTCACCATCTCATCCGCTCTCCAAATTCTTCCGAGACACCTTTCAGGAACTATTGTTTTGCTCCCAGGGTGCACCGGGACGAGGATAGCGAAGATGAGAATGGTCGCTTCTGGAGAGGGGTTAGCGAGTGCAGGGATACAATAGGGAGGAAAAAGTGAAGACAGGCTCCCTCGGCAGATATTCATTACTACTTTTTTCTCATTAACAAGGAAACATGTCGCTACATCCTGCATAATAGGTGTCAGACTCATCCCAGCAACACCTTTCATTTCCATTACGAGGCTTTGACAATGCAGCTTCTAAAATCTGGAAGAACTGAAAAATGTGATCCTGATTATCACTTTACACCTCGACATGGGATTGTTGCATTTATAGAAGACAGATTCTGCATTTTTTTTTCACTGAATTTAAAACAGGTCCAATGTTTTTTAAAAGCATTCTTTTGTCAAAATACACCCAAGACAAAAGATTACATCACATTTTTACCTTGCTTTTGGAGTCTCATTGACCTGTTTTAAGGGGCCAATGCTGAGGAAGGCTTTCGTTAACCAGGTGGTACTCGGGGCTTTCAATTAGGCACTTGGCTACAATTATTAAAAAGTGAGAAGTGCTCCATCATAATGAAAGTGGATTGTATTTTCATTTATGGAGGCAGCACTTCATCACCAAGCATCAAAATCCAGTTCGTGTGGCAGATCTGTGAATGTGGCACTCAACACCGTACCTCCTGATGACTAGGTAGACAATTAGCTCAGGCTAATCTGTGCTAACACAGCAGCTCAACGGCTTATTTAGTTAATGATATAAAGTACCCACGTCTATTTGGGGTTAGGCATCTATTTGAGTGGAGCACGTCATCAGAGGAAATAAATGCATTGCACACATTCAGTTCAAATCTACCAGATGATGCGATCGTCTGACGTGTCTGACTTTAAACTTGACAACACACTTTTTCAAACCTCACCGAAATTATTTAGTATGATTACAGGCGGCACTCCTTTCTCATGCAAATCAAACACTGCTCCCCACCATGTGAGGTCATTGCGGAGGAGAGCTTTTGTTACCATGAAGAATTGTGAAGCGAAGAAGGAAATTTTGAAGTGCATGAGCTCCAAGAAAAGACGGGGAAACTACTTTCACTCGTGGAGACAGCACTTCACAACCAAGCTTCAGAATAACACTGGTCACTTTTCAAAGTATTTAAAATAACTCATCAAAATATACTTGGCTCTCCAAGTAAAACTATTAGGAACAAAATTCAAATGCAGTTGCATAGTACGTGTATGTGTTCTTCAAAAGTTCTGTTCCTTCAAAAAAAAAAAAAAAAAACGTAATATTATTCTAAGCCTTGTCCTCCCTTGCTCTTCTTCTGTGGTGTTATTGACGGTTGACAAACTGCCTTAATGGCACATTAGCGGCGTCAACTGTCCTTCCACTACAAGGAAACTCAAGTGAATTGATGGAGATGTTGAATGAAGTATGATGGCGCCATCTACTGGTGGGAATCTCAAACGCACTTGTATCTCAGATCTTAGCTTGTAACTCAGGACAAAACAATAAGGCCAGTATAAAGAGAGAACCATGTAAAGTGAGTGATCTGGCTGCACAGCAAACTTTAATATAGAATTTGATTTCTTGTTGGCTTCTTCGGGAACACTTTAAGAGTGAGACAGCATATAAAAATCAACACAACTCAACGGAAGCCCACGTAGCCTAGGTTGATGAGGTATTGTCTGATTAAGTAATACCGCACCCTAAAGGCCATACATTGGCACCACAAGACGAGCTGTTGAAGCTGGTGAGAGGAAAGGGTTTTGTTTCTGCTTTTTGTAATTTATTTTGCATTAAAGGAAAGTATTGCATTTCCACTTAACACATATTTTGAGATGAACCCCAAGCAATAGTGACCTCACTGGGCTAACTGCGACAAAAATACTTGAGAATAGAGAAGGGTATAACTGTACAGAAGACCGGAGAATTGAACCCGAACCATCATGCATACAAACTCCTGTGATTTTTGAAATATTTTTTTTGAATTATGTAATTGTTATCAAAGTGTCCAACGCTTTTCAAAGAACACTTCTGAGTGTATGCTGCATTCCAGGGGAGTGGGAAGTCCCACCAGGACAAACAAGTGCATTGGGACGCCACTCAACTGGGAGGTCCAAACCACAAAGTCGGAAGGAAAGTAAAAAGTTCTCCAATTGCATCACGTTGCTTGAATCAGATGTTATGATCGATTTTTATATTGTTCTGATTAAATTTAGTTTTGAATGATTTCCTTTTGCCCCTTTTTTTCATGTCATGACTCCTTTTTATTTCCACGTGTCGAATCAGGCCTGTTCCTTGTGTCGACCAATCGGCTCCCTCCAGTCGTGCGTGTCTTGACCAGATGTGCCTTGTTGTCTGTCAGTGTGCTTGCATTTAGTTATCTGGTTTCTTTCAGTCTTTCTCGGTTTCTTGTTGTTTTTGTGTGTGGAAGTTGTTAGTCGTGTTGATGTATTCATGTTATGTTCTCTTTTGTGGTTAATCCAAATTTCTTTGTAGCTCATGTTTTGGGACTTTTTTGATGGCGTATTTGGAGTCGTCCACGTACCCCGTTTGCCCTCTTGTAAAATCCTATTTTTTAATCTCTTTATTTTTCCTTTTCCCCCGTCTTGCCTCCGTGCACTTGGGCCCACCTTTTGCCTTGACATCAAATTGTGATAAGAGTGACAATAACACGATTAAAACTATTAAAAATAAATCAAAGTGCTATATTGTTTTTATGATTGGCATGACAGTGTGCCCACCGCAGCTTTCTTATGCCTTGCAGCATAATTGAAAATAAATGCATGACTCATGAAATGAAAGACCAAACTCCACTCTGCATTTGTAATATAGTCTCTTTTTAATATTTATTCTTTTTGACTTGTGGAGGGGGAGCAGGGATGTCTTTTATTTCTTTACAGCACAATTTGCATAACCCATAAGAGCCCACAGTGACACCAGTGTAACAAACAGTTTGAACTCCTCAGCATCTTTTTTCAAAACTTTTTGTCTGATTTTAACCCAACAAAACTTTTTGGAAAAATGGGTCTGGGCTCTTATGGGATAATGTCTAAACACATCCTGTGTACAACCACAAAACCATTACATTATTGTTATTTTTTGGGGGGGTGGAAAAACAAGACCATTTTACAAGCATATTTCTTTACAGTCAGCATAACTATACATAATGTGTTGGACGAAACATGCAACATCCACAACATGAAGACATTTTTTTCTCTCGTTTGTGTTGTACAACTATAGACACGCATTAACTGTACATTTATATCTCTTTCCACTCCGCTCGCATGCTCATATTTGGACAAAATAAACATTCACTCTGTAGAAAATAAACACTTTATGTACACTGCCAAAGTCACATTCACGCACGCGGATGATTGCACAGTCAACAGGCAACGGGACGAACGGTGACGAAGAGTCGAACAGGGAAACAGTCATTAGGTGAGAATTTTGCATGGAAACAAAGCTTTCACTCACTGTACATGAGACTGCTGTTCGTGTTTCTGTGGTCAGATTTGCATTGCCATTTTGTAGAGCTCCCTCGCGTTTCTGTATACTTATTTTTTTTTCTTGTTCTTTAAAATTTGCTACAGAGACAAATGAATGCACATCACGTTAAATGTCCTACGTTTTCAATTCATTCCAGTGCAGAAACACGAAAACACATGAATGAGGGAAACAATAAAGTGCACAAGCTTCCACGCCCATAAATAGATTCATATCCATTACAAAATAAAATACTTTTCTCCCCCTTCTTTTTTGTTTTTGTTTTGTTTTAGACCTTATGTTTCAACAGACAGACATATAATTACTGGGGAAAAAAAGTTGCATAGAAGTACCTCAAAAGAAGCGGAAAATGGCACGATAAAAAAAAAAATCCTCCATATTCTCTTTCTAATTGTCATAATTTTTTAGGATTATTTGTTGTTGTTTTTTTTTTTTGCTGTTAAAGTGACATCTTGTTCTTAGCCTCTTCATATTTAGTGATATGCTTCAACACGTTTGTTGTAATTATTATTTTTTTTCGATATGGTTACGACTGTATACAGGGTTAACCTGCACTCTAATTAAGTGCCCAGGGTGTGTTTTTTTTTTTTTTTGGTCACAGGCAGTGAAGTAGGCTGGTTCACCATGTTGCACCGGGAGTCTCACACACACACACACACACACACACACACACACACACACACACACACACACACACACACACACACACACACGATCCTTGACTTTCTAAGTAAAACCAGGAGGGAGCTGTTGATGGGCGAAAATGAACACTAGCCATTATTTAGTGTTGGAACATTCCCCGCGGCACTGCTTCATTTGTACAGTGCAAAATTATGGCTGCGTGTGACCATTGTTGTGGGGTGTCATCTCCTCATTAAAGTGACAGAAGGTCTTTAGGGCAAGGGTCGGGACCCTACGACGACACATCATCTAAACGTTTTTATCTTTTAGAATTTTTTTTTTTCGGAGCAATGAGTAGGAGTAAGCCTTCCAGTCGAGCACACCAGCTTCTTTCCACATGACAAAAATAATACATGCTAAATTCACCGAAGACTCTACATTGTCAATCGGTGTGAATGTAAATGCTTGTTTCTCTGTGTGTGCCCCAAAGTTGAAATGCAACCTGTCCAGGGTGTGCGTCTTGACTTTCCTTAAGTCAGCTATGACAGTCTCAAGCTCATCAAGGGCATTAATTTAGGACAAAAACCACAGAAAATGAAATGCTTCCCTCGGTGCATGGGTGAACAATCAAGGGTGTACCTCACCTCTCAAACAAAGTCAGGTGGGACTGGCACCAGCTCATCCGAATACCCTTTTGAGGACCGTTCCAATAAAAAATTAATCTATGTTTGTCTGTAGGTGCCCAGCGATTCACTAGCGACCAATCAAAGGTGCCCTCCACTCACTTCAAGTCAGCTAGGATCGCCTCCAACTCACACAACCGTCAACTAGGGACACAAGCTTTTGACAATGGATGTGCGTTTGCCTATTTGTGGCGAGTGATTGACTGGCGACCAATCCAGGGTGTTTTGTCTAGTCAGGTAGGTAGCCTCTGGCTCTTCCAGGACCCTCATGTATGCAAACGCTACAGAAAATGAATGTATGCATGTCTGTATGTGCCCTGCATTTGGCTGGTGACCAGCTCAGGGTGGGTACTGCCTCTCGCCCAAAGTCAGATAAGATAGGTTCAAGTTCACATGGACCCTGAATGAGGGCAAGCACTATAGAAAATAGATGTATGGTTCCGTGAGTTGATATGCTGCGTCAACATGCTGGTGAAAGCTTCACTCAATATGTTTGAATAACACAAGTGTATATGGCTTTGTAAACGTATGATGAAGTTAAAGCACGATGGAAGTGCACTCCATTCTCTACCCATCATTTTGACCAAATTGTATTTTTCATTTGTTGGGCTATGAAGTGCGTATTCGGCAAATCAATTAAGACGTCATTCACTGCCGTTAATACAAATGCCAAATGGTGAATTTGAGTGTGAATCCGAGCTCTAATGATAGACATTTTAGTCATTCTTCCATATCGCTGTCTCCTAGCTGTAACTGTAATCTGTCCAAGATTGGCAAAACTTCGTCTATTATTTAACGTCTGTATCTGTGTGTGAATATATTGATATTCTCTGTAACTTCTTCTGTTCACAACACATTCCAAAATCTCTGCAATGGATAAAAACAAGTCCAAGTCAATGTTGGCAGTTATTAGCACACCACACCTCCCGAATGTTCATGGATGTCAATGTATCAGTTGTTATGTCTTTCTTTTTTCAATAATAATGATGATGATAATCAGTATTATTGCGTTATCTGCTCAGAGGTTGCTGGGTGCTGAGCTGACAAGCAGCTTGTGCCAGCTGACAACCCTCTTCCTCATGTCCACCTTGTCCAGCCAAATGTAGGCCTCCCCGATCAGGGTCTTCTTCACAAACTTGCCCCCGTTGGATACAAGGAAAAGCTACAAGGAAGAGAACATGGACATTTAACCTGGGCAGCACGATGCTCTAGTGGTTAGCACATCTGCCTTGCAGTCATGAGATCTGGGTTTCAATCTCAATCTATTTGCATGCTCTTGCCATGTTTACATGAGTTGTCTTCCTTCCACATTCTAAAAAGCATGCTTCTTCGGTTGCTTGAAGACGATAAACAGTAGTGTCAGTGCTTGTTTATCACCCAGTCCTGGGTGTATCCCATTTATTGTTTTTCCTCAAAAACAAATAAGGACAAGTGCTATAGAAAATAAATAAATTGATTTAAATTAAACACAACAGGTTCCTGCGTGTGATCAAATACTAATGCTTATTTGGTGAAGCAGCATGTGGCTCATCACCTAAGATTATTTTGTCATGCTCGTAGTGACTGTGAGCAATTGTACTGATCATGAAGTGGCTCAGTACTAGTGTGTTTGTCAGAAAATTTTGTTTTCTGCATTGCTTTCTCTGCTCTGTACAAGCTCTCCTCTTTCATTCCATAAAAAGACAGTTCTTTGTACAGTGTATTGTATTGTTGTATTATTATTTGTTTTTTGTCATGCTTTTTGTTTTTTTGAGGGTGTACCTGTATGGAGTGTCCTGTGGGATTGAGGGGGAAACGGAAGGTCTCGTTGAAAGAAGGCTCACGGTCGTGACGGCAAACTCTGGTTTTCTTTTTGATGATCCTCTTCTGAGTGGCCACGTTGACCACGTACAGCTTCACGTACAGGTCTGATGGCGCACAACAGGCAAAGTAGACAAGAATATCCTTTCAGACTGCGGTTAAAATAAAATGTTGATATTGTTCATTTAAAATGATTATATTGTGAAATATATATTGCTCAATATTTTCAAAACACCAGTGTTACTTCCGAGGAAAATTGACTGAGAACTTTCCAGAAAATCAGCCACACCCACCCCTTCGAAAACCTATTTAAAAGAGAAGCATTTTTTTTTCTTTTCATTAATTTGTTCCAAGCGCCGCCACAAGTCTAAACCTGGTACAGTATTCTGATTGATATTCCGTTTGTGGAATATGAATTTGAAAAAGGTTTCATCCATCTCAGGGGTAGCCATTTTGCCACTTGCTGTGAGCTGGAAATGATGTCACAGTGTCCAGTTTAGTGGAGTGGAGGCACATAGAGCATATTGTAGAGAACATTTTTTGACTTTACATCCCTTTAAAGCTACTATTTATTGCCTATTTGCATTCACACGGTGGCAGTTGCCCCCACCTGGCAGGTGGTCGGGACTTTTGAACTTGTAAGTGATGTTTCTGCACTGCAGAATTTCCAGGACCAACTGGTCGCCGTCCGTCTTCACCTCTTTCTTCAGAGCCACTTTGATCTCGCCCATCACTTGTGTCTTCTCGCCTACAACAAAAGCCCGCGGTCACTTGCATACTCCAATGAGTTATGTGTTAGTCTTTCAATTGATTCAGCAGCATATGCACTCAATGAGGCAGGCGCATCCCATATCCGATTCATATTCACATACAATAGAGGCCCAAGTCGGATTTGAAACAAAAAAAGTAATTATACTGTTCAGAGTGAATGAAAAAAATGATGTACGTGCCGCTTATGTCCCAGAAAATCGGAAGTGAGCTGCAGTGTGAACGGCCTTCTTCGTTGAAGAGAAAAAGACTAATGTTGTTGCTTCCTTTTAGCTGCAGTGAGTGGCCAGCAGGTGGTGACACACTGCACAAACGAAAGTCTGAACTTCACAGCCCAAATTCCCAAAACACAATTTTTTTTTTTTGCTACATGATTTAAATTTAACTATAATAAAGTAAAATATAAGTATAATGAAAAATGATAAAAGAGAATGTAAAGAAAATAACTGTTTTTATAACGTGTAATTAAGCCGAGTCACACCAACCCAAATTGTAATACATTTCTGGTGTTGTATGCCATTGAGGAGCGTGGCCTTGCGATTCGCGTCAGGAGCTGCTGTGAGGTGGTTAGTTCAGTATTTATGTCTGCTTCATGCTCCTTGAGAGTGTTTTTATTTTCTGTTTGTGTTTATTACTGGTTACGAGTAAGTTTAGCTTAAACTAAGGAATAGCATTATTCTATATGATTCACTTCTACAAAGTACACAAGTTTGAGGACATTTAGATGCTTTGGAGTGAGCACAAAAACTGTGAATAGGCGAGTTTTTGGTGCACATCAAAGTTCAGGATCCAATGTGCGAAGCGGCAAATTCATGCGTATTCTGCATCCATTGTGCTCTATAGTTCTTGAAGTAAAAGATGACAGCAACTTGCCTTCATTCTCAGGAGTTCCCATGTGGTTTTTATCCGTTCCGTTTGGAATAGTCGTACCACTGCGACAAACAGGACAAACTATGTTAGCATGAGGCACTGTTATGCACAATGGACTGAAAAAAAAAATCCTCTCACATGTGCGGGACTTGAAATATGGCGCTGTCCACTCCAGTTCCTCCACCTTCACCTCCATCTAGACCACCCTCATAGGCGTCGCCCACGAGACTGGGGGCAGACAGCACCACCGGCCCTGAGACGTCACCCAGCCGGTGGCCCAGTCCTGTCACACGTGGATGGATGGATGGATGGATAGATAGATAGATATAAATCAGTACAGGTGTGTTGGATAATTTGCATTTACAAATATAACAAAGTCTTTCAATCAATCAATTAATATTGAATAAATTATAAAAATGATTTTTCTACTATGATCAAAACATTAACAATGTCAATTCTATGAATATTTATTGCTTCCATTATTAGTACAACTACTACGACTACAATAACACCTCTACGATTATTCGTAGCAGTAGTAGTCATAGTAAGTAGCAGTAATACTACTACAGTACTTAGTATAACTTGTAGTTGTACTTCTAGAAGTTTTTTTATATGAAACACATTTTTTTATATCATATTATTTCCTTTTTATTTTCTTAAACTGCAGTATTATACTACTATTTCTGGCACTCTATATTACAGTCACTATATTGTAATCTCTAATCATTATTACTGATAAGGCAACAGGTGTTGTAGTTCGTTTATTGGTTATTATTAGATTCTGTGGGTGTACCGAATATTCTGGCACATAAAGTTTTATTATTATTATTATTATTTTTTTTTTTATTATAATGACAAACATCCAAAAAAATAACATGTACTGTATAGGAAATCCACACACTTTTTCAGATGAAGAAACAATTCAACAATATTTAGATTTCCAATGTCAGTTATTCACACACAAGATGTTTGTATTCAGTTTTAAAACATTTGAGCAATTTTTAGGATTCTCATATCGTTCCTATATGTTGCCTCACCTTCCCTTTTTCTGTCTTTGCTCTCATTGGTGGATGAGGCTGGCAATGACGCTGTTTCCTGCTTTGACCGCCAATTGTTGAGGGCAGTGGGAATAAAGAGGGTGGGTGCTTGGGGAGAGGGGTGGAGTAGCGGGTAGGGTGGGGAGCCTGTGTGCCATACCCATGTGAGTGTGTGTGTGTGTGTGTGTGTGTGTGTGTGTGTGTGTGCGTGTGCATGTTGCCTCTTTGCTTGTGGTGCATTCACATGGTACACACATGCAAAGACACACAAAGAATGGCAGTACGAAAGCCAGGGGAGCTGCGGTGACATGCTTATATGTTTGAGAACACATTATCGACATGTATTGTTGATTTTGCGAACTTGAGAGACAGCCATCCCACATTGGTTTCAGGGTTTTAGAGAAACCATTTACAAGGGATTGGCTCATGCACACTAGTTATTATTAAGGGTTGGCATTTTATAACTGTTTTATTACTGTTTTATGACAAACGTCAGACACTTTGTTCTGTTTAGATATCTTAAATCCAAGAAAACAAGCAGATTAATTTGTTTTATTAATACTAATTTCATTTGAATCTGTCTTACCGGCCCCATCTCTTTGGTGTACAGTGAACCCCCTCATATATTAATCAGGATGTAGCACACATGAAAATTTTTGTAATTGCTTACTGATGCCACATGACAGCAGTAAAGTTCTATGGCCTACATAGACCAGTTCCGCGAAATACTTCCCATCTCACCAGAGAGCTGAAATTTATTTTCCGGTGAGCTTCCTGCTCCATTCACACTTGTAAAATAAATGGACAGAAAAACTTGAGTGCTTTATTTGTCATAAAGATTTGTACATTTCTGGAAGTTTCTCTGTCCGTCGATTTTGAATGGTGCCGAAAGTTAACGGGAAATTAGCTAATTACTGGCAAGATTGTAAGTGCGTCGCATGACACATGTCCTTTAGATAAAGCTATGGCCTGATCAAATAATGCTAGCTTGAACATCGTTGCTTGACACAATATGCCACCAGATGGCGCCAAAGCAATATTTTTATTTGAGGCATTATTTTTGGCCTGATCAAAAAAATAAATAAAACAGTGAATAAGCAAGCTTTTGAGTGAACAGCTGTAGAAAGTCCCCCCTCCCCCACCCAAACGAAAAAAAATCAGCAAAATTTGCGAATGCTGGATAGCAAACACGCAAGGGTTCACTGGAGATAAATTCAAAAAGTGAAAATGTTAAGTTAGCGGTTTTAGTGTGAGCTACATGCACAAATTGGGAGAAGAAAATGGGGAGGAAATGTGTCAAAGGAAGTGCATCAAGGGTAGGGAAGGGATTTACTTGGTTGCAGGCGGGACTGTTGCACGGCAGCCTCGGCAGCGGCGATGGCTATCCCGGCGTCCTCCAAGTGGGCCTGGGTAACACTGCTCTTGCTTTGGCTCCGCGACGGCCCGTGCGAACGGAGCTGGCCATCTGAAGAAGACTTAGAACTGCCCGGGCTGCTGTGGGACTTTTCCAAAGGCAACATCTGCAAATCTGTGGTGATGGCAGTGTGGATTTAATGTATTAGTAGCCTTTTTTGGTGATTGTTATCAAGCAGCAGCAACACGAGAAAGCAGCAGCAGGCGGGCATTTACCATTTATTCTATCAAGACTTTTGACAGATAAACATGAATATGGGAGAACAGGCAGAATTGAATGATACTTCCCTGCCAGGCCTGGCTTCAGAGTTGGCATTAGCACAAAGGTGGCACTTACAATCCATTTTTCATAATATGGACTCCTAATTCACATCTCTTGTACCGAAACATACAAAAGATGCAATTTTTCACAACACACCTATTGCCAGAAAATGCTCTTATCGTGTTTCATTCGCATCCTGACGACCATGTTTTTTTTTTTTTTTTTTGGTCCACAGTTTTTTTATCCAATGGGATTTCAGCCTCTCTGTGTTGCCATGTCACTTTAATTTTTTCCATGGCCCTGCACACTTGGTTACCTTTATTAAGCCAAGTGTTCTCCTTACCTTTAGAAGGATCAGGGAAGATTCCATGGCTTCTGCTCTTGATGACGGAGTTAATGGGTGAATCATAGTTCCCTTCTCCCTGGTCTGGCCCTTGTCCCATACCGTGCCCAGGCCCCATCCCGGACCCTGATAGGTGGCCTTGGGCACTGTGGCCCTGTCCGGCTCCAGATCCAGGCGGCCCCTGAATCCCGTGGTGGGCTCTGTTGTGCTCAATACTCTCACTCTGCTCCTTAAGTGGCAACCAGCGAGGTGTGTTGTCCAGCTGGGTCGTGTTGGACAAGTCGATCAACACCTGAAGTAAAAAACAAACAAAACAGAATTAGCTTTGGGAAGAGTAAATGGCTTTGAAGGAAGACAGATGCTATGACTCACTTCTCCCAGGAAGTCGTTGGATGAGGATCTGTCGTAGTCCCATACTGTCACCTCGAGAGTCTTTTTCTTCAGCTAAATTAAAGTGGAGAGAGGCAAAACAATATGCTAATATAACCACCTGAACATTCATTCACAAGTGTGAGGGGCTGTCAGTAACATCATTCAGAATTGCCAACAAATCTGAAATGCTCTTATTCAGTCAGGTAAAATGCTCTCACACAGAAAATAAATCTTCTCACACATAAAACTGAAACTATTTCACACTTCCTCCTGAAATACACTGAAATTATATGCTAATATGTGTTAGCCTTGATTGCTCTGAGTCTCACTCTGCCCCACTGTCATAAGGTGTTCCACAGGGTTCGATTTCGGGGACCCTGTTGTTTTCATTGTATTTTCTGCCCCTGTATTCCATTTTAGGTGGCACGGTGGTTGAATGGTTAGCACGTCCGCTTCACAAGACAATCTAACTGTGCGCATGGGTGATGTTTTCTTTCTTTTGGGAATTTCCTATACTTTGCAGAGCTAGGATTGGGCATAATGGAGTGTTTGCTCCATTGTGTGTCATTGTGGGGTGGATAGCATTAAAATCAGAGTGGTCGGAGCGGACGCTGGCCTTGATATTGCGGACACAGAAATAGACTCACTCGGATCCGTGCATGACATTGGCACGCACACATACACAAACAACTTGACTTGTGATTGACGTGTGTTGAGAGTGGAGATAAAAGTCTGCCAAGGGACAATGAAAGAAGCCTTCAGGACACGCTAAAAAGACAAAGTCCTGAAATGAATCGGTAACACCAACTCAGTGTAAAGTTCTTGTCATTTTATTTTTGTGTAGCACAAACGTTTGACATTCAACCTGTACTGTTACTATGGTACTTTGCGTGAATAGTTGGGCTTGTTCACGTGTGCAAAATGCCAAAGTGAGTTTCTTTGAGCCCTGATGTGTCATCTGTAGATTATTTGAAATTGTGTGTGTGTGTGTGTGTGTGTGTGTGTGTGTGTGTGTGTGTGTGTGTGTGTGTGTGTGCGTGCGTGTGTGTGGTGTGTGTGTGTGTGTGTGTGTGCGCGTATGTGTGTGCACACCTGTTCCAGATGGATGTTCTTGTAGATGACTGTCTGGTTCCATTCCGGGTTCATGGTCTTCTGGGCATATTTGGTCCGTCTCTTGTTGTCCACACTGCAGTATTGAGACAACACACAAAACACTTTAAAACCATCTCCCCATCTTGTTGGAGTGTTGTACAATATTCCATACACATGAATGTAAAGGAAAAGATGCTTGTCGATATGACTGTTTGAAAATCATGGATTAAAATAAATGAATAATAAATGCTTCCGTTCAATGCTTTTACAAAAGAGGCACAGGAGATTTGAAGGTGAGAGCCATGAAGGAGAAGAAGCAAAAATCATGGTTCATCTTATCTTAACTCTACTACACACAGCAGACACACAAAGAACAAAAAGGATGGGAAACGAAACACAGAATTTGAAGGAAGGGTAAGAAAAAGCGGTACAACACCAACTGAAAGCAAAGATCAGCACCACACTACCTTGCATTCTGGACAACCATGACTTGGCTGAGGGAGTCCAGAAGAGGAAGAGGAGGGCGGATTTTCACAAACAAGAAAGAATAATACAATAAATAATAGAATAAACAATAAACAAACAGAAAGAAAAACAGTCAGAGAAGCCCAACGAAAGCCAGTCAAAGGATAGTGAGCTGGGCCGAGGCGATCCATATGCTCTTATCAAGGTCACATCAAAACACACACAAGGTTTTGCGCTCTGGAAATACACGTTAATGAGCATCACACATGAGCGCAATTGGCTGATGGGCAAATCTGAAGTGTTGTTTTGCTAACTGCAACGTCAGCCATCCATATTGGACATACGCACGGAGAGGAGCTCGGCGAGAGTGCTGCTTCTTAAAAACGTGTCTTTTAAACTGATACTGATACTGTTAGGGAGACTAATGGCCCTATTGATCCCTGGGCTATTTTCAAGCTCTCATGGAGAGAGCAGTCAGAGCAAAAGCAAAAACAACAACATGGCATGTTTACAGTGGGGGAAGGAACGATTTCATCGCCTGCTGGATCTGCTAGTTTGCGCACTTAGAAAGGATGGAACACTTTCTGATTTTATGGTTGTTTAGTGATGATGGTAATGAACAGAATACAAGTGAAAAGTGTGAAGCCCTACTAACAAAGTGTTATTCAGCTTTCGGGGGGAATTTCAGAATGACCTAAAATGCACTATAAGCATTAGAGTTGAACTTAATTTGACTTCCTCTAAACTTTTCAATGAATGTCCACCTGCTGAAATACAGGATGTAATTGTACAATGTTTACCCAGGTGATTTCCATTCAAGGGAATATCTGCCCAGGCAGCACGGTGGTCAATTGGTTAGCACGTCCGCTTCACAGTCGACTGATTAGCATGTCTGCTTCACAGTGCAGAGCTCCAGGATTTGATTCAGGGCCTTCCTGTGTGGGGTTTGTATGTTCTCCCTGTGTCTGTGTGGGTTTTCTCTGGGTACTCCGGTTTCCTCCCACATTCCAAAAACATGCTGGATATGTTAAATGAACACTTTAGATTGTCCCCAGGAGTGATTGCGAGTGTGGATGTTTGTTTGTCAATGTATGCCCTGCGATTGGCTTCACACAGTAAGGCCGGGGTCTGGAATTGAACCCAAATTCTGAGATCAAATACTTGTATTTCTCTCCATAAAATGCATAACATTTTCCGACTTTCGTCCAAAAAAAATGTGTGTTTTGACTGACATTCTGTCTCCTACCATCATCAACAATGATAAAAATCGAGACTAGTTTCTTTGCAAGCGAGAAAACTTAAATATTCAGCAGGTGATCTCATTACAACTTCTTCTAAATATACAATAAAAGACAGCAGTATCACTTTCTAGGAATAACAACCCCAAGCAGTAAGAAGTAGTCATCTCATAGTCTAATAATTACAAACAGTGCAATCATCAAGAAACAAACAGGGAGAGCGAACTCAGGACAAGGACACACACACAAAGGCACAAGGCAGACAAGGTGGAGACATGACGAGAGTTGTTCGCATATGCTCACCCTCTCCCGGGCAGTAGGTAGACCTTGACGAAAGGGTCCGAGTAGCCATCGTTGTCCCTCGGCGCCAGGTTTCTGGCCTGGAGAACGTGAACGATCAGGTTTCCCACATTCCTGTCATAGTTGATCTGGAGCTGAGGCGGGAGAGGTGATCGTTACTGTTGGTGTGCAGCCCAACAATGAGACAGGCTTTTAATTGGCCTATTTGCTTTTAAAGTACCGCTAAGTAAGAAGTGTTGGTCATCTTCTAGGTTGCCTTTAAATGCATTGCAGTAGCTTAAAATAAACAAATGTAAAATTAAATTAAAAGTTCATCTGCACATCCAAAAAAATCTTCATACTGGCTTTATCCCGGTGTCCTCAAATTGTTTTTTTTCCTCCACTGGTTTTCTTCTGCTACTAGTTTTCTCCTCACCCAGCTTTGTCCTTGACTTGTTTTGTTCCAGTCTGCACTGCAAATCTTTCTCCGTCACTGCCTTTGCCAACCTACACCACTGAGGTAGAGTTAAGCTTTGCTCGCTATGGTAATGTGAGAACAGCCGTTAACCGTATTTCAAGACCGGCCTATGCTATTGAAGCTGTTACTTTTAATCACTACTACTTTATTGTTGAGTGAAGAGGGGAAGCAATGTGTTTTCTACCTGAATTTCTCCAGTAATGGGATGAGACATCCTTATCATGTCTGTTGGCTGGAAAAAATGGGAACAAGAAGACTTGTTTTTAATTAGGTGAATAATTGACAACACATATGTGATCCACAATCACATGAAAATAAATACTGACATGTTTATATAAACCAAATCAGACATATATTGAAGGGACCCACAGTGAATATAAAACGTTTTCACACCCCCGTTCAAATGACAGGTTTCGATTGTTAAAAAATGAGCCCAAAATAAATAATTTTTAAAAATCCACCATAATGTGACAAGCAGACCATCTGAACTTTATATTATTTGACAAATAATACAAGTAAAACTGACAACAGTTAAGACTAGCAACGTGTCCGATGAATTGAGCAATCCCATTTAAAAAATATCTTTTTGAGAGGAGAAAAGTAAAAACAATCAGCTGTGATAATGTGCTTGTGCAAGTGTTTGCACACTCATAAACGGGGATATGGCCGTGTTTAGAATGAACCAATCACATTCTAACATGTTAAATAGGAGTCAGCACACTACTGCCTCAATTTAAAATGCCTCTTATGAACGCCAAATGAAGTTCAGCTCTTCTTGTGGTCACATAAATGTTAGAAAAAGATTTGGAAATGATTTATCTTGGTCCCATTGACAGGACATAACAAAAATCTGGCATTTGAACTGGGGTGTGTTTTTATTTCCACTGTAAGTCCTTGTGGGAACTAAAATGGCCTCGTAAACAAAACAAGTGATGTAAATCAATGTATGTGTGTGTGTGGGGGGGGGGGGTGATGGGCGTGTGCGGCATTGTGGGGAACAACATTTTTTGTGTGGACTGACAAGATGGTCCCCAACAATGTGACTCATGTAAATCAAGGTGTGTGTGTGTGTGTGTGTGTGTGTGTGTGTGTGTGTGTGTGTGTGCGTGTGTGTGTGTGTGTGTGAGTGAATGTGCGTGTGCGTGCATGCGTGCGTGCGTGTATGTGTGTGTGTGTCCTTGCACACTTCCTCTCACACTTCCAGTGAGGGTCATGCGCCAAAGGACTGCATTTACTTGTTCTATCATAATTGGCCTGTCACTGTCTGATGTAAAGCATAATAGCGTTTGACCTTCCTCCCTGGGGCAGGCCTCAACTTGGACGCGTTTTGTGATGTCTCGCTAATGGAATCAAAATGGCAGAGATGAACCGAGGGTGGATACTGACGCATGACACAGGATGCACCACAGTCTGGACTTGGCATTTAGGGGCAGCAAATGCAGCGCCCCACCACATGCAACAGTCAATCTTATGAATTGTGTGTATTTTGTATTTAATACATACTAGTGATTTAATTGTGTTTTGGTATCACTGTTGATATTAGTAGCGGTAGTAGTAGTGTACTCATCATTAAAGACAGTAGGATTCGTATTAGGAGAACAGAGTGGTAAATAAGTATTTTAAGTAGTAATTAGTATTTTTGATACTACTTCAACTACTACCACTAATTATTATTATTATTATTGTTTCTGCCAATTGGCAATTTTGTTTATTAGGGTCAATGTGTGTGTGTGTGTGTGTGTGTGTGTGTGTGTGTGTGTGTGTGTGTGTGTGTGTGTGTGTTTGTAAAATTAAAAATAAACACATACGTATGAAACCAACTCAGTTGTTGCGACCCCAACAATTTCTTTTCGGAATAATCCAAATCCCACAATGAAATTTCATCTTCCATTCAATTACCTTGTGTCGCTGTTTCTTATTTATTGCAGGTGACGCGGGTTGGCCGGGGCTCGGCACCCCACTAGATGCGGCCGACCCGGTGCCCGAATGGACCACAGCCGATCTCTCCAGGGCCGACAGCACACCCAGACCTGTGGGTCCTCCGAGCCCGGCGCCCATCATGCCTGGCGCCTGCTGCTGGGAGACCTTGTGCAGCTCTGCGGCCAGCTGCTTAGGATCCACGCCAGGAGAACGTTGGCCTCCTACTAAAGCAAGCAGCCGTGTAGTCACATTGTAATAGTGTTACAAACATGCATGCAAATCCATTGTACATACCAGCCTTAAGCTGGACGTGGTGCTCCAGGACTTGTGGGTGCTCAGGGTCAGACAGCATGTTCAGATCGCTGTTAAAACGCATACATTTGTCATTTTAGCAGCCATCGGTCAGTGCGGAAGGATGATAGGGGCGTCAGGGTCAGACAGCATGTTCAGATCGCTGTTAAAAAGCATACATTTGTCATTTTAGCAGCCATCGGTCAGTTCGGACAGATGATAGGGGCAGGACTTGTGGGTGCTCAGGGTCAGACAGCATGTTCAGATCGCTGTTAAAACGCATACATTTGTCATTTTAGCAGCCATCGGTCAGTGCGGAAGGATGATAGGGGCGTGGATTGAGGACAGAAGAAGAGGGGAAGGCACTCATTGGCTATGTGTAGAGCAGCCGCATAGGCCTTTTCACCATGTCATCACTAGGGTTGCAAAATTTTGAGAATTACACAAATTGAATACTTTGCATATGGGAAGTCTTTCCATTTGGAGGTGTGTGCTCCACCAAAAGACAGTCTTGCGGTATATTTAAGATGTGCATGCCCAAACACAACTTTTGGTCTTCCACCTGGAAGTACCTTGGCCCCTCTTGTTTGCAAACATTATGAAAAGGGCAATACAGCATATCTAAGATGTTTCAGAGAGAGAGAGAGAGACGGGGGCAGAGGCGGCGAGTCCAAAACGGCCACAGCTGTGACATACAGTCGCACGCAGAGCTCCGCCTCTGCACACGGCTGGCCCACGATGCCTTGAACTTCCTCATAGGTCTTTCCCGTCAGCTGCACACCGTTCCACTCCAGCACCTGCATGCCTGTAATGAAGTCAGTAGGGGACAAAATTCATTAGTTGCTAACGATTTGCCAGAAAAACTGTCCTGAATGACTTCTCACTTACAAGTACGAAACCAGCTGCTGCAATGACAAGTAGCTCAGATTAATATTCGTCTTTTCACCCAAACTGTCACGATGTAGCCTACCATGCAATTCATTTTGTCCTCCACCTCCTCCTCCTCAGCCTATTTAGGTTTGCCCCTGAAGGCTTGTTCTGTAGTGCTGCGCTCTGCGTCCTCTCCATTCAACATCCGGTGGGTAAACATGTGCTCCCTGACCGCACCATCGCCTACGTATCATCTTTTCAAAGATAGAATAACATTCCTCCTTTGTCAAAATTACCACGAGAGTCAGCACTGTGGATGAATACCAGAGACAACCAAGAAAAACAAGCTGTAATTGTGCGATTTGGCCTCAGCTTCTAATCTCCTCTGTTTGCAAATTGTACCTCAGTGTGTTCGAAAGAGAATGTATCTGCTAAAAATAGCTTCATGACTAACACCACCCAAGGTAAGCTAAAAGAATCCCATGTTCTGCACAAGAATAAATGACAGTATGTACATGACTACAGGACCTGACTTATAAAAGTCAGTTCTTCAAAATAACGGGCACATATTGTGGAAAATTTCCTTTACAAATGTACACACAATAATTGGTTGTAACACACAACCAAGTAACTAAGAAAACTCACAACCAAGTCATTAAGTAAATTCCCTGGGACATCACGAGCCAGCTAATTTACATAATACCGCCACCACACCCAGTTTCACCGCCCAAGTCTACATACAGGCTTCTTTGTACTCCGGCGGGGGACCAACGCTAGCACATCATTGCGGCAATGCCACGCAAACTGTTTGCCTTAACACTTGCGCACACCCACACGTGTTGTTTTGAAAAAAATATATCTATAAGCCTGTGTGTCTGGCCAGGAATACACAAACATAGGTAAACATCCATCCATTTTCTTATCCGCTTATCCAAGGTCACGGTAGGCGGGGTACACCCTGACCTGGTTCCCAGCCAATCTCAGAGGTAAACAAACATGGCTCAGATATTCAGATACAGCACAGAACCACACTTTTGGAGCGACGAGGAAACTGACTGCTTTATTCCTGCGGTGAGTGTTGTTTTGATGCTTAGAAGCAGAAATGATGTCTATTTGCGTCATGACATTATCCGCACGTCGGCTGTTGAGATTGGGACATTCCAAATGATCACAATTAGCATTTATACAGAAGAAACTCTCCGCTCACGCATGAAAACAAGTTATTTTTAATATTTTAGAAACCACAATTTTGACATAAACCCGAATGTTGACTGTGTGTAAACGTAGTCATGGTCTTCTTACCCTCTATGAGTTTTCCTGTTTGTTCTGCGACGCCACCTGGGATGACTCTTGCAACATAGGCTCCGATCTCCCATTGGCTGCCTGGGATGTCCTTGCCACCGACCACCCGTATCCCGAGACCATTTCCTAAAAATATATCACAATCAAGTTCTATCCACGGGAGGGGGATTCTTCATGCTTTCTGTGTGACTTTGTACCTGACACGCTAGAGTCCTTCTGATCTCTGGTGAGCTTGATACGGGTGTGAGGGAAGACGTAAGGGACCAGTTTTATCTGAAAAAGAAATTAATTACCAGCATGTATACACATCGTTTTGAAGTCGAGATGATCCCAAAAAATACAGGTTAGAACTTTCTCCACTGCTTTGTAGGCACCACTCATGCCATCATTGGTTGGTCTTACAATCTGCTTTACTGACACCATTAGCAGGCCTTACCGTCAGATTTTCAGTCACTGGTCATTTTAGTCTTTAAAGGTGCATGGCAAGGGGAAAGAAGTGATTGGAATGTATGCAGTCACTGTTCATGTCATGACAGTCTTCCTTTCAATCACTGTTCATGCCACCGTTGTGCAGTCTTAGGGTCTGTTCTTCAGTCATGTCATCATTGGCTAATTTGGAGATTTGCTTTTCAGTCACTGTCCTCGCCTATCACAATTGATGCTCATGGCCTCAGAAGGTTCAAATATATCCTGGGAGTTCTCTTCTGTAATTTATTAACTAGCATCATAATACAGTGTTCATTTTTTTGGGCAAATCTAGATTCAAGTAGGCATTCTGAAGTTTTCAATATGTTGATTTATATCATTTTGTTAAAATCTGGAACTCACTTGTCTCCTGTCTGCCATGTGTCTGGTCTGTGGATGTCCTTCTCTTGGTTTGTCAAACCAGTCGGTATCCTCGCGTCTCAGATGGTAGGCTGGGGAAGGAGAGGTAGTCGTTAAAAAGCTTGCGTGTTTGTGAATAACATCTACTTTAAGCATTGCGTTACGGTAAATAAAGCAGAGATCCATCTTCAAATCAAGCTTTGGAAGCACTGTTTCCAATATGCATCACAATGTCTGTTACACATCAATTCACTTGACGTCATATTGCTCAAAATGATTAAGAGTTTTCTTCTGCTTTGCTTGACACAGTGAAGGAAATGTGTGTTGATGCCTAAGCCTATATGATTCTTCCATCAGTTTGCCATTTCGACTTATACCAAGAGCTTACATACAACGTGCTCTCACCAACCAACATAATTAGTATATGTATCCAATCTGATGAGATCCAATACAAGAGCTATTGCAAAGATTCTGTCTTTCCAAAGATGGTAATGTTTCTTTTTTGGAAGGTAATCAATCAATTTAATGGTGAGACAAAGTCCCACAAGTACTATCAACAGGAGTTCAAACAAAACGTTGATAAGGTGACTAGTTTTAATTAATTTTCCTTTAGTTAGGCTTGATTGTTTAGTGGTTATTTGTTTTCTTGTATGAGGCATGATTAAGAATGCCAAAAATAATAATAATAATAATAATAATAACTTTTTATCTGGAAAGTCAAAGTTTTTTATAATGGCAATCATTTCGGAACAGTGTGTTTTCAAGCTGAGCATTTTCATCTTGAGAAAGTCAGGATTTTGCTCTTGTATTGCTACTTTGTTTAGGTGTTATTATTCTCTTGAGAAACGTTATCCTCGTAAATTGCCCTTCTCCCTACGGCCACTGAATTTGTGAAGTATCTGTATAAATGTTAGATTAATATATTATCCTGTTAACTGTGTATCTCAGATTAAGAGCGCTTATCAGAATTAGAAGGAAAACATTCTGATCAATAATCGGTGTGCGGCAGCGATGACAACCCGAAGACTTTTTTTTGTGGGTTTTTTTGTACAGTAATCAGAAAATGACTTCCATTGTCATTTCAATCCAAACACATCTTTGTGAGAAAAAACATACATGGCACACTGGCAACCAGAAAAGGAAGTGATACGCTTTACGGAACCACTGATGTGAAGTCATTCCCCAATGATGCATACTGACTGAGTCAGTGCAGGAGATGCTGATGGTTCATTCCCAAAATGAATTGCAACTAAGGGTTCCACTAAATGGCATGGGACTTTCTACCACGGAGATGCGGGTCATTCCAGAATGGATCCAGTCAGAATGTTCATAACTTATGCAGAAGCCAGTCATTCAGGAGAGTAATGATGTGCGACATGGAGGCGTACATTCCGTAAATTACTTCATGGGGGAATGCTGTCTCACCTTCTATATTCCAGTTTGGGCCTCCAGCTGGGGTACAAAATTGTATATATTTATATATTTTTGAAAGAATGGTATATGTTTGTTTTTGTTTGGGTTTTTTTTTTTTTTTTCATTTCAAGAAATGGGTGCAGCAGCCTGTGAAATCAAGGAACTAAGCTGAGAGGAAGTCTTATGTATTGGGAGTGTATGTTGGCACATGCATTAAAAGCAGGGGTTAATGTATGATGCATGCTTGAAATTACAGCAACCAACTAGCTGCTATTGTGTACACACTTAAAGGAGAGGCACTATGAAAAAGACAAGATATGCTTAAGGGGAAAAAGCTCATCCATCAACCATTGTGTAAGTGGGCCTTGAGAGATGGTTAACTATGATACTCTACCGTGTGCGATACTTTCATGAAAGATTCTGGCTTCCTCTCTGTTCAACACCAGCACGGACTCACTGAGTCCTGTAATCAAGGCAGATTGACACTTATATGTGGAGTCAGCACACAAATCATCTTCTCATCACCTAGAGAGAGCCTTGAAAAAAACAGTCCACAAGCTACATGTGACGTGAGTGGAATACTCATTCAAATCATCAAAAAGAATTTGATTTAATTTGCTGTGTGAATGTGTTTTGCAGCTACAAATCTGGATTACTACCTAAAATGGCAATGAGGAAAACTAAAAATATGGAAGACATTGACTTTATTAGGATGGAAACTCAAACATGTATAGAAAAACATGCAAGGATGCAAAATCAAACACAGATAAAAGACAAAACACAATTTACATGTCAATATGGCAATATTATAAATTACTGCTTACTTTATTGAGTTACAAACATAATATAATGGGAGAAATAAAACATACAAAATAAAGATGATAAAGATAATGCATGCATATGAAATCACACAATAGATAGATAGATAGACCTAATTGTGCCATACATAAACCAAAGATTATGCATTATAAGTCCAAGTATTAAAATGGAGAACAACAGCATGCAACACAACTAATGGAATGATATTAAACGCGACAGAGAAGTACAGTATGTACAATAATATGTAACTAGCAGTGCTTATATGAACTACTGATGATTGAATAACACATACGATCACTCAACAGTAGCATGCATGACAAGCAAGTCCACAGTCAAGTTCTTGCAACGATCTCTGGTTCCATTTACCTTCACTGTCCGACATGGCACCTTGTAAGTCATCCATGATGAATGCGATATCTCGGTCATAGCCGCGAGTACGAGATTCTTCCCTCATGTGTTGTTGTACCTCTGGCAGGGAATGGCTTGAGCCAAACTGGTCCCTGGAGTCGGCAGAAATTGGGGGGAGAGGTCCAGCCGATGCCCGCGCCATACCCATTGGCTGACCCACCGGGCTCAGGGGGCTCTCTTCTTCAGAGTTTTGAGCCACAATGGGGATGCGTCCTCGGCTATGGCTTATAGGCAAACTGGTGGGCTTTGTTCTGGTCACACCAGGAGCAAATGCTGCGTCCAACACATCCACCTCAGTTTTAAGTCGTAGTGAAGAGCTGGAAAGGTCCCGTTTGATTGGTAGATCCAAGCCGTAGACAGAGGAGGGTCGAGAAGAAGGACGAGATGATGGTCTGGAACGGCTGCCACTTGGGTAGGTGCCATCATCCTGGGCAGATGTCCTAATAGTGGACCCAAGACCAAGAGATTGCCCCAGAGACCCAGCAAGATTAGATCCTAGTGAGGAACCCAAATACTTTTGCTGCTCAGATAAGTTCTTTCTCAGTCCAAATGTAATCTCATCCTGAAGTAGCCTTGCCCGAGAAGCCAGGTTGGTGACAGAGGAAGCTCCAGATCCCATGTAGCTTCCAAAGTCAGGCTCCAAATCCCGACTCTCCTGAATGGGGGAAAATTTGGTCATGGCCTTTTGGTCTATTAAAGCCTTTTTATTCTTCATCTGTTTCTGGTAAAGCACCGCAGCTGGGAGTTGTTTTGCAGCCTGCTTCTCAAGTGTGAGCCTTCCGATGCTATATTTTTCACCTTTAGGGAAATGGCGAAAGCTGCTATCGCCGGACAGATACTGGGGAAGGCCCAAGCCTGATATATGTTCTAGTCCTTCAGTTCCTCTCCGGAATTCCTGCTTGATCTGTTGCTTAAGTAGCTTTAACTCATAGGGCTCCTCCATACTGTCTTCTTGAAGTTGGGATTGGCCTAAAAAATCTGCTACCTATTGGGGGGAAAAAGGGGAATTTAAGTACAACAGAAAATAAAGTGGAGAAAGAGTTCACAAAGGTGATTATGAAGACAAATGATGGAGGTGTACCTCTGTGCGTCTGACCTCTGCTGCCCTAATTAGTCTGTCTGCCTTGGATAGCTCTTTATCAGGGAGGTTAAATCCAGAACCCAGGCAAGTGGAACCCAATCCTGTGGACCCCTTGGTGAGTTCCCCTATGTCCTCAATTAGCACATAGTTCCTGGCATGGTGGTGGTCGATGTCAGCGTAGAAAGAATCCGCAGAGATGCTTGACATGGGACTAGAGGCCATGCTCCTCTCTTCGAGCCCTAGCCTCAAATCCAAGCTGCCATACTTGCCTCCGAGATGAGCCACACCAAAGCCGCTTTCTGAGGAGGTCGGCACAATGATTAGAGGCTGGTTACGTATGACCTCATAGTTAGTGGCGATTTTGGGCTCTAAATCGGACAGGTTGGTTTGACGCTGCTTTCCTTGTAAGAGCAGAGCATGCTGGTAGCTGCTTGTCTGATCCTGACCATGGGAGAGGGATAGGGTTGAGACATGTTGGTACGGAGAAACCTGTTGATGGTAAACGGACTGAGGTTCAAACAGATTATGTTGGGTAAAATGGCTTGTGGTTTGCGTCTGTGGAACATACTGGCCGTAATGAGAGTAGGGACTTGTGAGTGTGTTATACTGGGAATCAGCTTCTGTCTGCGGGGGTATGAACTGATCAAACTCTGATTGCGGCGCTGTGCGTGGCCTCTCCAGACAGTCACTACGGTCATCTCTAATGTTGCTAACCTCACTGTCTGACATGTAATCTCTTTCTTCTGCCACCCCCTGGAGATAGGCCCTCTCTCTCTTCTCTCGCTCTTTCAGCAGGACCTCCTTTCGCCGATTGATACCCATCTCCAGGTACCTGCAATGATAAGGTATCACCATTCATCATCTTATCTTTAATTCAGGAAAATTTCTTTGAAACTTTGAAAGTACCAAATGTCATGGGTTCTCACACAAATACCTTACACTATGTGCGAGTTTGGAGTGGTCTCACAGACTGATGTCAAGGTAGCCTTTTAGCCCATAAACTAGCAAGGTAAGTGTAGGCATCATGCAGATGGATTAGGGAGGATGATTGCAAAAGAGGGATGAGAGCAATTGTATGAATCAAAATTATGGATGACAACCATAATCTTTTAATGGACTGTGTCACAGGCTATGCAAAAGCAAACGCTGTTTAATCTACAGCATCTCACCGTAGTTTTGCATCAATTTCCTTTTCCTCTTCGTCCAGTTCAGCCTGTTTCTTGCGTAGTTTTGAAGATTCCCTCTCTACCATATCAAGCTCTTTGTCAATATCCTGCAGGATCTTGGCCCGGGCCATTGTAGTACTACGAGCAAGCCGACGGCGGGCAGAGTTGGTGCTGTAGCCTGAGCGTCCCATCAGTGGATCATCCTCAGGAGGTGGGTCTGGGAGTGTTCGTTTGACCTTCTTACCTGTGCCGGAGGGGGAGCCTCGCCCCTAGAACATGTGGAAAAATAATGAATTGACCAATATATGAATCAGGATTGCTTAATGTATTATTCAAATTAACTTTGTAACTTACTGAATATGTGTCCTCATAGTAGACGCCCATCCTGTCTTCTGTGGCAGGACTCAGAGATTTAGGATCAGAGAAAGACTTCTGACCAGGCTTCAACCGAGGGCAAGAGGAAAATCTGCTTGGGTCAGCAGTCAGCATTCTCTGTCCTCCAACTGATGTGTCATGCGATAGAGGGGGCACTGACGTATAGAAACCTCTCGACCTCGCCGTGGCATCAGTTGTGAGGTGTGAGCTGTAACCCACCTCAATGGGTGTATGCCTTCTGTCTGAATCTGTCTGACAGCTCAGACTGCCTCCTCTTTGAGAGCTTTCAGGAGCTGAGATGTGTTTGATTATTTCCACCTTGGTGTCCATCTGGACTTTAGGTCTTTTGATAGATCCAGAGTGGTCAGTTTGAACAGATATCTCAGCAACTGTCTGGATAGCAATGCTGGACACCTTTGAACTGTGTTTTCCTTCACTGCTGTGTTTTCGGGAGCGTCGTCGAGACTTTGCAGGAGCATCCCATTCATCTTGGTCCTCATCATCACTCTGAGCTGAGCTATCAATGTTTCTTTTGTTCTTCTTTCGTCTTCCAGGATGCGGTTTTTCAGCTGAGTCTTCATCGTCTGTTTGTACTCCACTGTCAATTATTTTTTTTCCTGTGTCCTGATCGTCTTGAAGCCGTTTCGCTATATTATGCTGGTCCTCACTTTCCTCTAACTGTTTTCCAACAGTCGGGCCTGAAGACTCATCTTTGACAGGCCAGTATTGTCCACTGTCCCCTACTCCTGCATACTTGGCCTCAAGGAGGTTTGCTGTGGTAGCTTTGCTACCATAGTGCTCATCTAACTGGCGCTGGAGTTGAAGCTGGAGTTGCTGGATTTGCTGCAATTGCTCTTTCTGCTGGGCATATGTCTCCTGCTGGGCTACCATATGAGCATGGTGTTCTTCTTCTTGCTGCATGAGAAGCTGTTGTTTCAGAGCCTGGAGCTCTTCAAGCTCTTGTTGCACCATAAACTGCTCCTGTTCGCGATAGCGCTGGATCTCCTGTCTCTCCCACTCTAACTCCTCAGCTAGACAGAGCTGTTTAAGTTTCTCTAGCTCGAGAAACTCCCTCTCCATCTGGTACTGAGCCATTTTAGTGCTGTCTAAGCCAGGGAATATTGGAGAAGAGGCTAATGCATCTAGAGAAGCTGCGAGTGCTTCCAATGTGGCATCTGAGTACATTTCTGGATAGCCTGTTATGATGTCAGCCAACGCTGTGGGCAGAAGTTCTTTTGGTAGCCCTGGGTCATAGGGAACAATTTGACCTTGGTCTGTGGTAGGGATGAAGCCAAACTGTTGGGGCAAAGACTGATTCTGGATTGTTTGTGTGGGCACCAAGGTGGTGCTAAAGATGGAGCCGGGTTGTGTGGTAACTGCATATGTTGATGGAACTGGGGCTGAGACAGAGGAGTAAACTATTCCATCTGAAGTTCTTAGAGCACTACAGACACCAAACGCAGTGAGTGAGTCCTGAGAAGATGGAGAAGGAGTCACCCCAGCAAAATCTGCAGTAGCTTTGATAGTGTAGTCTAGAGCTTTACCTGCCATAACAAATCAGGGGGAGAGTTTTTACTCTTTGAAATACACACCATTTTTCAAATTGTCACTTGTCTACGAATGAAAGGCCAATTAATCTGGATTTGAAACATGTTCATGCACATGCATATTTGAAGTCATTTTGGCTAACAAGATGCAAAGCCAAAATATTGCGGGAGCACACACAGGCAAACGCATGCATCTGTATGAAGAAAAGGGAGAAAAAAAATCACACACAGTTAATGAAACAATACACTTAAAAGAAGAGCAACAGGATGCAAAAATAAAAAGTGACTGAATATTGATCCGATTTGTCATACAAAAGAAATGTCACGATACTCACCAGTAGAAAGTTTGGAGGCAGTGAGGTCTATGGCTCCATCTGTACATCCATTGAGGTAGTCATAGTCTTTGTTGGGATCATAAGGAAAGAGTCCTACCTCTTTGAGGCTGGCATCAGATATTAATGCTTTTTCACCATTCATGCCTGTGCTGCCATACTGTCTCGCACCATCATACTGATGGTTGGCATCTCCGTGGTCCAAACGGTTGTCAGGCTGAGTTGTGGCAGGCGGTTGTGTTCTACAACTTCCAGTAAAAGGTAATTTGTATATGACATCACAGCATACACTTCTTCTACCAGCTGTGAGGTCAACTGGTGTCCCATCATCCTCAACAATAGAGGTTATTACTTCAGGACTTGTTCCGGATAAAGCTACCATAGACCTCACTGGTCTGTAGTTGGACAGATCCATGGCACCTGTTGCCTCCAAAGATAGAACACTGTTGATATCTGTTGAGGCAGGAGTAACTGATTGTTTGCCTCCTCTGACGAGTGATCCATATGAGAGATTAATTGGTATGTCTTGAGCTGTGGATGGTATAGCAGCGATGACAGGTTGGGCATTCACTGGTCTGTATACAATTTGTGCGACAGGTTCGCATGGTTTGTATGTGGTGAGCGGCAGAGGTAAGGATGTCACAGGCCCGTGCAAGTCTAGCGGTTTCTCTGCTGGAGACTTGCTGTATGAAGCAATGGTGGCTGTGCATGTGACAATTGTGATGCTATCAGTTACTACAGCCAGTGTGGTTGCAGGGACAACCTCAACACTAAGATTTACTATTTCTGGCTGAACTGCTGTGATTTGACGCACAGAATCATTGGATGACTGTCGATATAACTCAGGTGGAGTCAAATCCATGCCTTGCTCAGTCATCTTCGCACCAACCTTCATGGTGCGTAAATCCATAACATCCCCATGATGGATTAGCTTTTCATTTTGCTGAAGTTGGTATTTTCTTTCATCTGATTTTATGGTGGCAGCTATGCTGGTTGGAGTATGCTGTGGAAGCCTTTCATGGACAACAGACACCGTTGTTCTCTGGACCTCTGTGGTGACAACTTGAGTGACTAAGTTCGGCTGTATTTCAGCAGGCGGGCCTGTCGTTGAAACTGAAGAAGAGTACTTGTGACTCAAACTTGAGACAACCTTCTCAGGTCCCCGAATCTCTTGGCTCTCAATGGACTCTTGCTGAATTTTAGTGATGGTGATCGGCGCAACAGGTCCACCAGGTAGGATGTCCTGTACGGCAGGTGTTGAGGTTCTCCTTGCATACGCCTCTGTGCTTATTATCTCAAGTGGGTGCTCATAGTCAGATGAATACGTAAATAGCTGTGGGGGTTCAACTGGAGGAAATGAATCTGTTCTGTTATGCACACAACCAGGAATATCTTTTTCAGCTGGCATGCTTATTACTAAGGGCTGCTGCATTGTTTTTGCGGCAGCAAAAGCCCCAGTGTTGACAACCTGGGGAGACATTTCATAATCTGTAGCAAAGGTAATCATTTCACTTGTGCTGTATGGTGGTTTTCCTGTGGATGATATCGATGTCCTTCTTTCACTTGAAGTTTGTTCAGTTGTAACTTCACGGGGGATTGAAACTACCATCTGAGATTGTATCATAGATGACATTGGCGCTTGTCTCACAACAGCCTCCATTGATGCAATATGCATAGGGTCTGGTGGTAATGCAATGACCTCAAGTGGAGGTGTTGAACATGGCATGACTGACATTTGAAGTGTGGCGTAGACTTCAGGCGTGTAAGTACCAGGAGGCTCCTCTGGCTGTGAGATCACATGTGACTCATTTGCAGGAGTAGGTATTGCAGGAGCTGGTGCAACCTCTTGATGCATCCGAGGTAAAGTTGGTATATCTGGTATTGTAACGACATAATCCTTTTGTGGTTGTATCACAGATGGTTGAGGGATTCTCGAACCGGCTGCAGAATAGGGATGAGTTGTTGCAGGAAGATGTTGACTCATTGCCATTGGTGACCTCGGTGCTGTCTCTGTGATAATGGTTTCACTAGCCATTTCTGGTTGTGCGTTTCTTATTTCAATTTCATGTTGTGAACGAAGAGCATTGGCGTATACGGTGCACGTATTTTCTTGGGCAGTTAGTTCATCGGAAGCTAATCTGGGCTCTAACACTATTGAGACATGTGTCACAGGCTGTTGGATTGGCAGTGTTTGTCGTTGCGCCACGGGAACTTCAGCATCAGCTAAAATCTCTTGTGAAAGTGCTTTGCCTCTTGAGACTATTTTTGGATGTTGAGTGACATCGGAGTCAGATTGTGATGTTGCAAGTGCTTTACTCTGTGCAGTTATTGCTGAAGTCCCAATGATGTTTTCTTGCATTGTTGTTGATGACAAGGGCTGATAAACGGCTTGCTGTTGCTGCATTACCACAGGGGTATATGGCTTCATTATTGGGTCTGCTACAATGTGGGCCTCAATTGGTATTTCCTGATCAGGGTATGTCACACAGTAATCCCTTTCAGGCTGCACTTTAGAAACCACAGTATTATTGGGTGCCACTTCTTCTAATGGAACAGTTGAAGCTATGGATATTGGGGGTGGATGCCTTATGGCTGGTACAGATGCTCTCCTTACAGTGGCCAGTGCTGAAAATGTTTCACTGGGTGTTTTCTGCTCTGAAGGGGTTGTTCGAACCCCTGGCCCTTTTGTAGCTGGTATAGATCCCCGTCTTATTGGTGCCTGCACTGTTATCACTTCTGTTGGAGAGCCAGGCTCAGATGGCAAAGTTATTACGACATATGTTTTCAAACATTTGGCATGTCTGGGAGATAACGGCGACTTAGGAGATGTTGCCCCTGACTTACTCTCCACAGGTCGAGTCAAGCTAAGTGACAGGGCATTTGGAGGTGCTTTGGTCCTAGGCAGCGTTGCAGCTTTTGGTGCAACAACAGGAGGTGGTTTGACACTTTCTCCTGGCTTGTGGCTGAAAACTAGTCCAGCTGGAATTATTACAGGCTTAGGCGGTATTGGTGGAGGAGCCTTGGAGGAAGGACTAGTGCCAGCTGTTGTAACAGAAACCTGGAATCCTGCTGCTGAAGCAGGAACTGGTGGCTTTGGATAAATAGTGGGCTTTGGTAAAGTGGAAGGGGGTGGTGGAAGTGTCTCAGCTAAAGGTATTTCTCCCATTTCTAAAACGTTAGTTCCCACAAAAGGTTTAGATGGGAGTGGTGGAACAGCTGAGACCATGGTAAATGGTAATGTTGAATATGTGGTTGTACTCTTAACCACATTGTGTGTGACTGTTTGGCTAATAGGTGCCTCAGATGCAGAAGAAGATTGTGTGCTGTCTTGAGGAGTTTGGCAAATCCGAGACATGTTTTCCACACTTGGCACTATGATGACCACATGCCCTGCTCTCGTTGGGGTCACTATTTGAGCTACAGCCACATCATCTGGTTTCATATCTTCCATTCGTGGCTGTATATCTACAACTACAGACTGCATTGGCTGGGCTGCAACTGTGGCTCCTGCAGTGATGGTGGACGTCACAGTAGTGGAGACATGCTGAGCACCCCTGATCGGTAGCCGCACTCCACCTTGCTCAGGTAGTGAAACTGATGTTGACCGAGGTGGAGGGGGAGGTGGGACTTTCTTTTTGACTATAGTAGTTGATGGGATGGATACAGGGATCATTGATGTGGTAGTTGGTTGGACTGAGTGTACAACATTCGGTTGTGCCGGGGCTGTGATTGTTGTGACTGTTGAGACTGACGTAGATGTTTGTATTGATAATGGAGATGTAGATGAAACTACATCTGGCATCTGGACAATTACTGGCTCATGGTATGGTACAGGAGTGACAGTGGAAGTAGCTACAAGAGCAGGAGATGGAACAGATCCTTGAATAATCCTTGGAGCTGGTGACTCAGTAAATTGAGCCCTCGGCTTGGCTGTGACAGTGACATGTTCTGGTCTTGAAGCTGACGCCTGTAGCACCGATGGAACCTCAGTGGGCATTTGAGAGGGAGATGAAACCAAGTCTGGCATTTCAACTATAACTGGAGGAGGAGTCTCCCCTGAGGCTGAGATTGAAGGTACAGGAACAGATGACTTAGCTTGGACCGGTTCGGCTGAATCAGCTTTTGATGGATCAGACACCACATCTGGAATTGCTACTATAACTGCAGAGCATTCTCTAGAAGATACTTCACCTTTAGTGGACATAAGTGGTGAAGACTCACGTGGGGTTTGAGTTAAGAAATAACTTGTAGGTGTAGACAAAGGAGTTGAGTCTGATGATTGAGGTGTTTGAGCTTGGTAGGAGGATGAAGAGGTGGCATTAGATTCCATGCTGGAATCAGGTGAGGCCGGTGAAGTTGGTGGTGACTGTGGCGATACAGGGGAAGGTGTAGTGGTCAGTTCTGGGGCTGATATTGGAGTTGGAATAGGTTTTGCTTCTGGGATTTCACAGACCACAGAGATCGGTTCCATTTCAGCTTTCTCAGACAAAGGTGGGCTTATAGATTGATCGTCTTTATTTTCAGAATCATCACTTGGGGTAATGTCCGATGAAATGCCAACACCATACTCATCTGGTAGACTGTCATCCTCTTCCTCCCCTGATGAACACTGTGTAATTTTGAGGTCAGGTATGGGGAAAAGTGCCTTTCTAAGTGCAGGATCAAGAGGTACCATTGGTCGAACAAAACCTATAGAGCCAGATGTCATGCTCGGAACAACGTTCACCTCAGTTCGTTTTGGAGGTTCACTGGGGCGTGGTGGTGCTGGTCGTTTTTTCTTCTTGACTGGAGCTTCATCAGAAGCTCTGCCACTTTCAGGCGTCATGCTTTCTCCAGTGTGTGATATGGCTTCCGTGGGTATGATTATAACACAGGTCTCCGGTTCTGGAGAACAGATAGATGAGCCAGATTCCAATGCTGTTTGGGCCTGCTTAAACTCTTGTTCGATCATCATCAATTCCCTCTTTTTTTCCATCATCTCTTCATAAACCTCCTCTGGAGACCTGAGTTTCTTCAAATGTTCAGAACTGACTTCCTGTTTCGGTTCGATGTCTTGAAAGCTTGTCATCATTATCTCAGGTTCCTCAACCAAGGATTCATAAAGATAGTCCTCAATTGACATGCCACCATAAAGTGGCTCCACACCTGGAGGACTGTCACCTGGGATAGCTTTGGCCTTCTGGAGAATGTCTTCATATGCTTCTTCTGCACTCTTTAATGATTTTAAGATGGTTTCCTTCTCTTCAAATGTCTCAGATGGAGTGTATGGTATCACTGTTGGAGAAGGTTTGCCTCCTCTCTGGACAGCCTGTCTTGCTTCTGGCTCTGATTGAATGCTGGCCAAGTACTCAGAGCCAGATGTTTTACCGGTGTCATCCCTTACCGCGACTGGTCTAAGATCCTCTGCAGAGGAAGTACCTTGATTTGGTGACAATTGGCCATGCACGTTAAGTTGGCTCTTTTCTCTGCGAGATTTCTCTTCCTCCGAGGAGTCTTCGATGGTGGGGAGTTGCTGGGTCGCATGCCTGTGTTTACCCTTGCGATACTGTTTGTCCCCGCTAATCCTCTTGTGACTTGTACTGCTATCACTGTCATCCTCCAGCGATGATGCAGACGTAGGTGACGACCCTGGAGTGAAGCTCGAGGCATGCACGCTAGATGAGCCCTTTGACAGAGATTCAGTAATGCTCTCTACCTCTTCATCAGTGCTTTGTCTATGTCTGATGACCGGAATAGCTTTCTTTAAAGTTGCGGTAGGAATTGTATCATTTTTTGTTGCCTCGCTCGTCATTAGAGGGGATTTGGTCCATATTAGCGAGCCTTCATTATCTGTGCTGCCTTTGCTTGAGAGTGATTTGCGTTTCATGGAGGCATTATCAAGCCCAGCTTTCTTGACAACTTCCTCATTGGACAATTTCCTTTCTTTTTCATCCTCTGAGAGAGACATTTCCTCTTTGCCGCCCATACCAAGGATCTGACTGCGGATGAAGTCTTCATCTTCTACAGATGAGTCAGCACTTTCCGTTTTGATCTCTTCACTGATAGATGACACACTGGTCACCTTCAGCCTCCTCCTTTGAACCTCAGGGGAAGGGGAAGGTGTGAAATCACTCCCGCTGCTCTCTTCCATTGCTGTGAAACTAAGTCGCCTTTTCTCACTTCCAACAGCCTCCTTAACTAGTAGGATTTTCTCTTGTTCTGTGTCATTTTTAGTCACACTGCACACCCCCTGCTCCATATTTAGTTCCTCTGATAAGGGTAAAATATGAGGTTGAGCGTCTTCTTCAGCTTTAGAGGTTGCCTTGGGAAATGCCTTGGGCACAACTTGGTTCTCAAATTCAGCTTGCGATTTTTCCAATTTTAAAGGCTCTATGGCTGCATCTCCCACCTAAAATAGAAGAACAAAAAAGAAACGGTTAAATCAAATCACTTGTGAAAAATGATTATTTTTGGCAATGGTAAACACAGTCATGCATGCAAAAACAAACTATTCTTACGTTCATGGACAAATCCTTGGTAGGTTCTAATTGTGGCTTTGGAGAGAGGGCGACATTAGTGTTCATTTCAGTTGGCATTTCAACAACTTTATGGCTGTCAGTTGGTGTCAATTGTGTGACTTCTGATGGTTCTTGAGCCTGTTCATGAACCTGGTTTTCATCATTTAGTATTTTGACAGCAATCTGCTCTGATGAGAGCAACCTTGTTTCATCTGTTGAAACTTCAGCTGTTATTTCTGATTTTGATGTTTGGGGAATTTCTTTCCCACTTGCCTCTGCTTTCTGTAATTCTTCTTTTCTCTCAACTGTTGCACTTTTGGAAACATCTATGCTTGGCAATGTAGGCCCAGAGACCACCACTGGTTGAACAGGTTCTGCTGCAGGTTCAACTAAATGCTTGGTTTCCTCTTCAACAGGTATAACCTTCACTGCTTTGGGTACAATTGAAGACTCATGTTCCACCTTTGTCGAAGTTACCAACACTTGGGATTCCTCTTTTGTTGTTGGAACCGTCTTGGTGGAGGACGTCATGTTAGGTGGTTTTTTAATAATGTCTGCAGACTCCGCCTTCGCAGAGGCTGACTTGGGCTCTATATTTTTGGTAACAAGTATGGCTTGATTCCCTTGTGGTGCCGATATAGGTGAAGGTTGAGGGATTTTCCCTGAGTCTTCCAGTTGTCCCAACAAAGCCTTCTGCGTGTGGCAGTTGAGACACAACCACTGTTTCTGGAATAAAACATAAACACAGCATATTGCACCATCACTAAAATGCATCATTAGCTACTTGTGTCACTTATACATACTGTATGTGAGAGAACATCCTTCAGTGCTCACAAAGGTCTGGAGAGTTATCTCATAACAATCAAATCAACAATCAAATGGGCTTCACTGTGAGCTGAAATATCTAACATTAATTCAAGGCTATATACACTATTGGACTGTATAGATATGAAAGCTTTGATTAGTGATTGCCCGCTGCTACTGCCAAAGAGGGTGGCAAGTGTACTATTGATTTTCTGGCAGACTTTCCTTTGGCACAATTGGAGATGCTTGGCTTTCCGCATCCCAGACAGAGCACAACTCTATAACTCCTGCCCGCCGTGTACACACGCGCACATGCACACACACAGTGTTGGCCTACTGATCTCTAATAGACAGAGAGTGCTTTGCTAAAAAAAAAGAAGAAGAAAAAAAATAAAATGCTAGTTTCTTTAATACAGTTACTATTGAGGGCAATACAATGTCAGGCATATAAACCCAAAGAATAGAGGCTATAAGTTATTCAGCTAATTAAAATACATAGCATTGCAGATGATAAAAGCAATGTAAACATGGAGACCTTTGCAATATTTGCCTACAAACAGTCAGAAAGTCTCAATGGATTAACTTGTTTATTTAAAAAAAAAAAAAAAAACCCTAATAACATCAACTTTAACTTCCTACTGAGCACAGTGGTTGGGTGGAGAGCTACAATGGCCATAAGTGAGACAAAGCGTCTTAATGAGCTCAAGACAGCCTTTAACATTCCATCCACATTGTACATGCATCAGTTTAGTTTTACTTTATTCAACAATACAGTCAAAAATAGCTACAGGCTGACAGCCAATGCGATGCATATAAGGTTTATAGCTAGTGCTAAACCGAGTGGTCCAGACTAATCCTAGAAAGGCAAGTTAAAAATACACTCTCCAATAAAGGAGTCTCCTCGAACTCAAACACAATTAATCTGTTTCTCAAGGCTAGCATGGACATTGCCACCTGGATATAACAGCAAGTGGAATTTCCTCTTCTATAATGAGCACACATTGAATACGGAACCATTGTTGTCCAAAGGTAAATGAAAACCTTTAGCTGAGTTTAATCTTTCCATCGTCCTCACAGTCAAAAGCTTGACACACGTGCGCCCTACTTATCAGGACAGCAGTCACTTTGCAGGCTATTTGTTGGCATGGGCTGAAGTACAAAGAGCAATCAAAAGGATCAAATGGAGAGGCGCGCTCCCGGCACTCACATCTTTCAAGCCTTTCAACCCTCTAACCTACTACCAAAGCCATGCTCTTTCCTGTTATAAAATAAGCGACTTCTCCTATTTGGGCGTATTCAGGCAGTTTTGAGAAGGGGTACAAAGCATCTCGATGGTACACAGATCATCCATACAGCCCCACTCTGTCTGAGGCTTTCCCCTCTCTGGTGACTGCAATATGACAATTACGTAATTATGGAATTCAATTTTAGGGTTAGTCACTGTTTACAATATCCGGAATATGTATCTTGGAGGACAATAACCACATAAACAAATGTGTCTGCAACGTGGGGGGAAGCCAGAGTACAGAAGTACATCCACACCGTCGCTGAGTGGGAACCGATCCCACGATCCCCGCACACAACTCAGACGTGTGTACCACTACACCATCAGTGACGAGAGAAGAACATGCAAACTCAAAAACACAAATTTGATCGTGATGCAAACCACAAGTTCATCATGCTGCCCTAATGTTTTGGGATTGTTAGAATTTGACTGTTCCTGATTTATTTCCCAAGTACATCAAATGATGATCATTGTGTTTACTAGCATTCATTTTTCTCAGAAAAACATTACATCTGAACATGAAAGATTGAATATGGAAAACACAGCAAGTGGCAATCTGCAGTCTGCGAAATGAATGTAGTCACAAAGTTGGTACATGCCCACCCACAGAGAATAAAAAAAGAAATTGAAGAATTACGTGCTAACACTGATCCAAGCAATAGAGCAGATGGCTCGAGAGGAAATCTCTCCTGCTCTAACGTGATGGCGTCTTTGACGTAATCTGCCTCATGTCTGCTTTATTGGCATATCACATGACTTTGCCAACTCAAATCTGTCACGGGGTTTGGCAACTACGCCCCCGCTGTAGTCTCTGCTCTGACATCAGATCCCATCTCGCTAATGCTCTTGCACAACAGCCTTAATAGAGTTTATGTGTTTTCTGGGCCTGCTGAAGACATGAGCGATATTTCTGTATGTAATGCGAGCACTTGAATGGTCTGGACATCTTACACACAATGGCGGAAACTATCTCCCGGTGTCACTCAAAAATGCAAACAGACATAAAGGAAAAATATTATGTATTTTTGTCCAGTTCCCAGGTGTCTGAAAAGCAACTTTTTTTTTCATCAGACTTTCCCAAGGGGGGGAAAACATACAGAGCACTTTACAGCCTATTTTTGTAGCCTGAAATTAGAATATTTTGAGCAGGTTGGGTGGGCGGTGCATAATGCATGTGGCTGCTACTTGCAAGGAATACAAATAAAAGACAGTGACTGACTATAATGTTTATAGTAGTACTTATAGGTTACTAAATGTTCAGTCAGGTCATAATGTTGCATACTAATAAGTCAGAGAGGTCCTTGCAGTTATTGCACTTACCTCTCCTGTATGAGGCATGGGGTTAAATCCACAGAGGTTACACACAAGGATCTTGCATTCAGTACAAGTGTTGGAATTGGGATGTTCCTTGGAGGCCACATGGAGTTCAACCTTACAGAGCGGACAGGTAGATATGTCCGCTTTGTGAATATCTGCTTTGGGGCCTCCTGCTACTTCTGTGGCTTCGAATGACTTCGTCTCTACTTTAGACTGGGTCGTTGAGGCAGGTTTGGCTTGTTGAGGCGCTTGTGGTTTTGGTGCAGCCTTTGCAGGGGGCATCTTCGGAGAGACTGTAGGAGTAGTTTTAGTCTCATCTTGAACAGCAGATGTAATCAATGTAGAGGCTGAGCTAAAAATAGAGGAGCCAAAACCGAACATTTTGCCAGTAACACTCTCAGCAGACTTTGCAGCAGGAGCAGGTTGCGTTTTAGGGGCACCAAATCCAAAGAACCCCCCAGACTCCTTTGCAGACACAGCTGTTTGTGGTGTGGATTTGACAGGAGTTGGGGATTTAGAAGGCTGTTGAGGTGGTTTTCCATCTGCCGGTTTTGCTGCAACGGCCTTTACCTCTGGTTTTGGAGTTTGAGAAACATCGCCAGAGTCCCTCCTTGCAGACACAGCCGTTGGTGTGGAAATGACAGGAAGATTTGGGGATTTCGAAAGCTTTTGAGATGTTTTTTCTTTTGCTTGTTTTGCAGCAACTTCCTTGACTTCTGCGTTTGGGGTTATAGAATCATCTGCCTCTTGCTTTGCCACATCCTGAGCCCTTCCTTGGTGACTACCTGAAGGGTCTTTTGGCTTTGGCATTGTACCTTGTTGCAATGAATCAGTATTTTTTGGTGTTAGTTCCTGGGGAGCCTTATTGTCCATTTGATTGCCCTCTTTTTTTATTAACATCAGTTTCTCTGGCTGGACAACTGTATCCTTTTGTTCTGATGTTGAGGGAGAAATCTTGACTGGTGAGAGCTGGGGTTTCATTGCAGAAGAACTTGTGGGCTCAGAGTCTCCAAGTGCTCTCTTCATCTGACAATTCAGACAGAGCCATTCTTGTGCCTTTAAAAAAAGAAAAACATTAAGAGTTTGGTAACACAAGCTAGCAATGATATTTCAGGATAAACAATGTTTACAGCATGCAACCCATTACAGCTGACTTGAGGGCAAGAGGTGGAATCTATCCGGGATTGTTTGTCAGTTAATCACAGGCAGCCATTCACACTCACATGCATTCCCATACCACTCCACCATCAGTGACCACTGCTGGTGAGCTACTAAAATGTGTGTTTATGTAAATCAGATTTACCTCTGATACGTTGGGCATTGGATTAAACCCACACTGATTGCAGACAGTCATTTTGCATTTTGTACAGGTGTTGAACTCGGGAGCCCCTTTGCCATCCATCTTAAGCTGTACCTTACAGAGTGGGCAGGTGGACTCAGTTGCTTTTGGAGTTTGTTGAGTGTCAGGTGCCTTGGTGCCTGGAGCTTTAGCAGCTTTATCTTGTATATCTGATTGAGTTGTTTTAACCTGTGGTTTGTCCACTCTTTCTCCCTCTGTTTTCTGGGGAGTTGGTGCTTTGGTGTTTTTTGAAGGAAACATTTTAGGAGAGGCAGGTGGTGTCGTCTTAGGCGAGGCATGCATGGAGGTCTTGCGTGTCGTTGGTGGTGTCGTTTTAGTCTCATCTTGAATTGCTGAGTTTATCAAACTGGATGCTGAATTCAAGAAGGATGACCCAAAGCCAAACATCTTCCCACTCACAGATTCAGCAGATTTGGGTGTAGTAGGTTGCATTTTAGGGCCACCAAAACCAAAGAAGCCTCCAGATTCCTGTTTTGCAGGTTGAGATGTTGGTGCAGATCTGGCTGGAGATTTCACACCTTTTGCAGGTTGTTGCTGTGCTATTTTTGCTGCCTCTAGTGCTGTTGGGGCAGCAACCTTTACAGAAGTGGTCTCTGTTTCTGGAGGCTCTTTCTGGGCTAATCCAGGTTGTACTTGAGGGGTGTTTTCATGTAAACCAGACGTAACATCGGTTTTCTTGATTGCAGGAGGACCACTTTTTTCAGGTAATAAAGCAGTTGCGGGTGTTGACTTCTCGGTGGGTTCAGCAGGGGATTCACTTTCTTTGGTTGTGACAACACCGACAAACTCATTGTTGGACGGAATGGCTTTAGGTGTCATAGTATCCACCTGAGAAGATGGTATTGCCAATTCTTTCTCCACTGTGGTTGGTGGCATTTCTTTGCTCGGTGATGGTTGAGATTTTATAAGTGGTAGCCCTAGAGGCTCAGAAGCCCCAAGTGCCCTCTGCATCTGACAGTTGAGACACAGCCATTCTTTTCCCTGACAACACAAAATAGATGTAATTATTGGCATTTTAAACAACAAATGTGATCCATTGCATGCAAAAGATATAACTTACTTCTGCTTTGTTTGGCATAGGACTAAATCCACATTTGTTGCAGACTGTGGTTTTACATCCAGTGCATGTGTTGTAATTGGGTAAATCCTTGGAGTCCACATTAAGTTCAACCTTACAAAGAGGACAATAAGGTTGTGTCGCTTTGGGAACATTTTGAGAGTTTTCTACTTTTGAAGGTTCTTGTGGACCTTGGATTGCTTTCTTGACTTGAGTTTGAGGTTGTTCTGATATCTTTTCTTCAAATGACTTCATGGATGTTTTGAGCGGTGAGACAGCAGGGCTTGCCTTGACTGGTAAAATCTGAGCTGCTGACACTATATCTGAGCTTTGTGCAGGGGCAGACATTTTACGAGAACTTGGCGGTGTCGTGCGGGGTTCCTCTCGAACAGCAGAGGTTATTAAAGAGGACGCTGAACTGAAGAGTGTTGAACCAAATCCCATCATTCTCCCAGTCACTGCTTCGGCTGTTTTTGAGACACCTTCCTGAGGTTTTTTGTCATTAATTCCTTTTCCGGGAGTTGATTGGACTGTTGAGGGAACCGATTTGGTAAGTACATTTTCAACAAGGTTAGGCTCCTTGTTTGGGAGTTTGACAAGGTCTTTATGATCAGCAATTGTGACTACTCGATCCACCAACTGTGCTGCCCTTCCCTGCACTTGCTTATCTGACGTCTCAGTTGTTGCAAGGGCGCTCAATATAGGATGATCGTCTTTCTGCCTCAGCGAGAACTCAACATTTGTCCGGGGAGGAGGAGCTTGATCAGTCAGTGGTATATCAGCAAGTAAACCTTCAATTGGCTTCTCTTGAGCTGAAGATGCCAATGAGATTTGGACCTCCTTCGTCGGTGGCAGAACAGTTGTAATATCTTTCGTTGGAACTGAGACAGTGCCTGAGCTTTCTTCTTTCTCTGGTAATGTTATTGGTATTGGTTTTACCTTCTGGTTTTTGTCCGGCACATCTGCTTTCTGTGTTAAAATTGTATCTTTCATTCGATTTGCGGTTGCAGCAGCTGGTGTCTCTTTCTTGGGTGATGGCAGAGGTTTCATTAATGGAGGCTCCACTGTGTCTGCAGCTGAGAGAGCTCTTTGCATTTGGCATGTCAGACACAACCACTCTTTTTTCTACAACACAAGCAAGAAATTCACAAATAATAAGTGTCCTTTTACTTGCCATTCGAAAACCTCATTTATCGATCTGAATGTGTAGTATATGTATGTGACTGCAATACTTACATGCAATCTTTACTCACCTCTGATACATTTGGCATAGGGTTAAATCCACACTGCTTACAAACAGTAATCTTGCAATTGGTGCAGGTGTCATAGTTTAGTAGATCTTGGGACCCAACGTTGAGTTGAACCTTACAAAGCGGACAGGTGGACTGGGCAACCTTTTGAGATGTATCCTCTTTGGTTTGTTCAGATGAAATTGTTTTAGTCATCTGAGTTTGGTCCCGCTTCAACTTGTCTTCCTTCTTTTGGACAGAAGAGGGTTGACTCTGTTTCATGGGGGACATCTTGGGTGAAACTGGTGGAGTTGAGTTGATCAAACTGGAAGCACTACTGAAAATAGAAGATCCGAAGCCAAACATTTTTCCGGTCACAGACTCTGCAGGCTTGGAAGTGTCTGGTTGGGTTTTACTGCCACCAAAACCCAAAAATCCTCCAGACTCTGCAGCATTGCTTTCTTTACGCTCAGCTTGACGGGTCTGGCCTGGTGATGTTCCGACACGTGGTATGTTTTGAGGGTCCTGTGGCCTCATTTTAACAGGAGGTGCAATGTTGTCTTTTAGATCATCTGGCTTGTTAGCAGCCGAAGAAGCTGAAGTAAGATTTGCTGTCCCAGCTGTTGGTTGTTTTTGAGGTGAGACTGGTGTCAGTCTCACTTTCTTTTCGGGTTCGGCTGTGCTTCTGATATCTTTTGCGAGTACTTGAGACTTGTTAGTGACAGCTTCTGAGGGGTTGCTCACACCTAGAGCACGCTGCATTTGGCAGGTGAGACACAGCCACTCTTCAACCTAAAAAAAGTAAGGTTATTCCAATTACATATGTAAGTTCAATTCCAAGATTTTACAAGCTAAGTAGACATACAAGTCAAGTCATGGGTAAGCTTGATTAAAGGAATGATTCCAAGATTTTTTCGAAAAGTAATCATGTTTTTATCATTTTACAGTACATATAAAAAGATATAGTTTTACCTTAGTTTCATTTGGCATAGGGTTAAACCCGCACTGATTACATACAGTGTTTTTGCATTCAGTGCAGGTATTGGAGTTAGCTTGGTGAAGTTCAGCTTTACAGAGCAGACAAGTAGAACCTGGTTTGACAGCTGACTTGGTTGCTTCTACAGCCATTGGAGGTTTTGGTGTGTCATTATCTCCTCTAGTTGGACCTGATAGCGGTCCTGTTCCCAACTGTGTTGACTCCAATGACTTCTTCTGTGGCTCCAGATTCTGACAATTATCAGATTTAAGCTCTTTTGCTGGGGACTTTTTGGGAGAAGCTGGCGGTGTCGTCTTGGGCTGATCTTGAACAGCTGACGATATTAATGTAGATGCCGAGTGGAAGATTGATGAGCCGAGTCCAAACATCTTTCCTGACACTGAGTTTGTTGGCTTCTCTGCATCCGGCCTTGATTTTGCAGCACCCAACCCAAAAGAAACTCCTGTTTCTTGCTGCTTTGCTGCAGTGGCATTGCTCTGCTTGCACGCAGGTTGGCTTGTCTGATCTGGCGGTTTCTCTGGAATGGGCTTCTCATTTTTCTGTTGTGTTTTCGCATCAGGTGCTGGGCTAACCAACGTCAGTGGTGTAGTGGAAGCTTCGGGTTTGTTTGATGTAACTAAAACTGTGGATGACTTTTGTTGTGGGGTCTCAGCAACAGTTGGATTTGCCTTTATTTGAGATGTAATTGGTTTGGAGATGTCTGTTGACTTGATCATAGCTGGAACTTGTTCTTGTTTTTGAGAAGCTGGTTGCTCAGATGCTTCGAGTGCTCTTTTCATCTGACAGGTAAGACACAGCCATTCCTTTTTCTAAAATAAAACAAACATGGATCAACCAATTTCAAATACATACATAATTTACATTTACATACAAAATTACCTTTCCAATGGGCAGTGGATTAAATCCGCATTTGTCACAGACATTGGTATTACACTCGGAGCAGTTACTATAATTTGGAGGTTCCTTCGAGCCAATGTTTAATTTGAGATGACATAGTGGACAGCTCTCCTGGTGTACTTTAGGTTGGGTGTGGGACACTATGGCTGCTTTTGTTGGCTGTGATGAAACTTTATCCTGCTTGCTCTGATTTGATTCTTCATTTTTCTTGGTTTCCTGAGAAAGACTTGTGAGTCCTTTCGGTGGCACTTTATTGGGAGAAGCTATTGGTGAACTTTTGGGAGAAACCTTGGGCGCAGCTGCCATCTTTGGAGAGACCTGCACTGGAGCTGACATCTTGCGAGAGCTTGGCGGTGTCGTGCGTGACTCGTCCTGAACCGCTGATGAGATCAAAGTGGATGCCGAGCTGAAAATCGAAGAGCCAAAACCAAACATCTTCCCAGTTATTGAGTCAGTTGTTTTGGAACCATCGGAAGTGGTTTTAGGGCCACTCAAGCCAGACTTGTCGGATGACTCTTTCTGGGAATCGGAATTGACTTTGTTCTGTTTTGGTCCAGAATGAGGGGTATGGTCTGATGGCTTCTGAAAAGAGCCAGACTTCATTTGAGGTTCCTGGTCAGAAACTGGAGTACCCTCTTTGCTCTGATCTGGTTCTTTAGCAGTTACGGATGGGATCTTCTGTGGAAGACTTGGTACAAAACCCTCATTCTTCTTATCGGGTGCTGCAGTCTGTGTTTTTGGAAGCTCATCATTTAATACGTCTGTCTTAGTTGTTTCGACTTGATTTGAAACAGTTGTCTTCTGAGGTATGGACGATGGAGGCAGTTTATTTACAGCCGTGGGGGACTTCATTGGAGGTTCAGATACATGCAGAGCTCTTTGCATCTGACAGTTCAAACACAGCCATTCTTTTACCTAAAAAAAAGACCAAGAATAAGAATTGCAAATATTTAAATGAATTGCATATTATTGTCCAATGATGACAAGCATTAATCTTCTGTCTATCTGTATTCTATAGCCCTTGTCTTTATTAACGTTAGATGTAAATGGAGCCGATCCCAGCTGACTTCGGATGAGAGACACTTAGGACTGATTGACAGTTAATTACAGGGTACAGCCAGACAGACCGCTGGACAATTTAGACCAGGGATGGTCAACTTAAATGATGGTTGGGGGCTCTTTTTTCATCAGTGCTACGGGGGTCCACATAGGACCACTCACTTCCTAACCAAATGTATGGCAAAAAGGCATTTTAAATATGGACAAAATATGTGCCGAGAAATTGTAAAAACAAATGTACCCCCCCCCCCAAAAAAAAGCCTATCCCAGCTGTCTTCAGGCAGTAGGCGGGGGCACACCCTGAACCGTTTGCCATCCAATCACAGGGCACACAGAGACGAACAAACATTCGCGCTCACACCAAGGGACAATTTAGTGTATTCCATTAGCCTGCTATGCATGTTTTTTGGAATGTGGGAGGAAACCGGAGTACCCGGAGAAAACCACGCAGGTCCAGGGAGAACATGCAAACTCCACACAGGAAGGTCGGAGTCGGGATTGAACCCATGATCTCTGCACTCTCTCTCTCTCTCTCTCTCTCTCTCTCTCTCTCTCTCTCTCTCTCTCTCTGTCTGTCTGTCTGTCTGTCTCTCTCTCATCAACAAAAAATAGTCTGCAAAAATGGTCAAAACCTTGAGCAAGCATTTTCCCTGAAAAACGGGAGGGTTTTCCCACCACAAAAACAAATAGAAAAACAATTTAAAAATGAAAAAAATATTTGGAAAAAAAATCTCGAATAGGTGAATACCAAACTTCAAGGTCCACAGTAGTGGAGGAAACATGTTAATAATTTCCCCCAATTACTTTATTAAATCGTGATATTAAATTGATTACCTTTGACAGATTTGGCACTGGACTGAATCCACACTGGTTACAAATGGTGTTTTTGCATTCTGTGCATTTGTTGTAGTTGGGAGGAGCCTTTGAGCCAAAATTAAGTTTTGCCTTACAAAGCGGGCAAGTAGCTTGGCCTTCTTTAAATAATGCTTGGGAGATGGTCACCTCCTTTGAATGATCTGACGGAGGTTTAGATGGTAACACTGTAGATGGCTTGGACTCTTGTTTCTTCATCGGTTCTTTCTCCTGAGCAAGAAGTGATTTGGTCACCTTTCCGGCAGGCATTTTTGGGGAGAGTGGGGGTGTTTTTTTGGGCTCCTCATGGCCTGCTGCGTTGATTAAAGTGGATGCTGAGCTGAAGATTGAGGAGCCAAAGCTAAACATTTTCCCACCAATTGAGTCAGTGGACTTTACTGCATCAGACTGTAGTTTAGGACTACGGGACTCTTCTTGTGCCTTAGAGGACTCATTATTCTGCTTTAGCTCAGATATAATTGTTGCTTCTGGGTGCTTTTGAGGGCCTTTCTTCTGGTTTTGCGATAGATCTTTTGGATCCGAAGCTGGAGTTTTCTGGTTTGCAACGTCCGTCTTTGCAGATTCTTTCGCAGGTACCTCCTTCACTTTGGACTCAGGAGGTGTTGGGTCGTCTTTTGTTTGAGATTTATGCTGCGTTTCCTTTTTGGGGACAGTCACAGACCCAGGAGCTTTGTTTGGCGAGGCCCCTGGTTTTATCATCGGCATTCCCGGAGGCTCTGATGCTCCGAGGGCACGTTGCATCTGACAGTTGAGGCATAACCACTCTTTCACCTATACAAGAGCAGTGTTTGTTAAAAACGCAAGAGCACAAATAAACAAAATACATTGTCTTACCTCCTTCACATTTGGCACAGGGTTAAATCCACATTGGTTGCAGACCGTGTTTTTACACTCTGTACAGGTGTTGTAGTTGGGGGGATCTTTCGAGCTAAAATTGAGTTGTGATTTACAGACAGGACAGGATGACTGAGGAGGTTTCGAAATAACAAGGGGAGCGGATACTTTCTTCAATGGTTCTGATGAAAGCTTGTCTCCTTTCAGCTGCTGGCTTTGTTCTGTTTTCTCTTCTGGTTGTGGGCTCTTCAGAGATGGAGACTCTTTAGAAGTAGGCATCTTGGGAGAAGCCAGTGTAGGTGTCGGCTTTGGTTCCTCTTGCACAGCAGAGGACATCAAAGTGGAGGCAGAGCTGAATATGGAGGAACCAAATCCAAACATCTTTCCCGTCATTGAGTCGGCAGGCTTAGTCGCATCAGGCCGCTTTTTAGGACTGCCGAAACCAAAGAAACCCCCTGACTCTTGCTGTGGAGCTTCAGTGGCGTTGCCCTGTTTTTGTAACTGCTCAGTTTTTTTCTGCAGATCTGCCTTCACGTTGTCCTGCTGTGCTTTCTGAGGAGGAGCTGAGCTGGCCTGTTTCTGACTGTCTTGTGCTTTAACAGCTTCAGCCTTGCATGACTGTGCAGGAGTCGTTTGCGGTACATGCTGTCCGGGTGTCCTTTTCGACGGGGAATTGGGAAGTTTGGGAGATTCGATTCCTTTCGTCGCACGTTTCACTTGGCAGTTCAAACAAAGCCACTCCTTGCCCTTAAACAACACACAAGATAAAGGTTATTTTTCTTCCATGAAGCCCGATTTACACCAAGCAGTTCAGTTCAGTCCATCAGTATTGATGTTCTCTTTTGGGTTGCGGTTGGCCCTGGAGTTAATCTCAAATGACTTTGGGCAAGAGATGAGGTACACTTGTCATCTCTTGCTTGCAAGACAAACAATAATTCCCACCTTTGGGCAATTTAGAGTCCCCAATGAACCTATCCTCCTTATTGTTATAAAGAAAAAAAAAATCCAGAGTACCCAGAGGGAATCCACGCGGGAATAGGGAGCACAGGCAAACTCCATAAAGGATGGCCTCAAACCTCAGACCACTCCAATGGAAGGCTGACATGCTAATCTCCCGTCCCGGTCAACAAGAAACATGGCTTCCAGTCTTCCTTCCAACTTATTAAATGTCACTTTTGCTTTTGTCCCATTACTTTAATTCCATAATAACATACACTAAGAAGGTGAACTGTTCTCTCTCAATCAGTCAACTAGCAGCAGAGTAACGACGCATACCAAAGCATACCACACGGACACGTACGACAACAAAGGGACACTGAAAAGTTTGATATTTTGGCAAATTTTTCAGAATGGAAACACAGCAGTATGAACGGAACATACAATAAAAACGAAAGAGAGACAACTACACACACACACACACACACACACACACACACACACACACGCACACACACAAGATTTCCAATTCTGAACAAAACATATTTTACTTCAGGAACATAATGGGTATGAGTGTCATTTACAAGACAATAAAAACATTTAATTTGATTTTGAGAAATGCAATTTAGGTGAGAAGAATAATCGATAACTGGGGAGGTAATGTTTTCTTGTTATGTTTTTTTTTTTTTTTTTTTTTACAGAGCATTTTTATAGCTCGAGTCGACTGCACATCATTGTTACAGGGTGAAGCAGCAGCCTTCGGGTGTCGTTGGCAAGCTTGTCCTTACGAACTGTACGTTGTGCATTGAATTACAGTGTCGAGTGTCAGGTCTTTTGTGCTTCAGACTGCCAGTAAGATGCCTTATCCATTTCCTTCAATGTTTGCTCGCTTGCCTCCATAGTACAAGCCTGCGAGGTGTGGATGTGTATTTTTAGCATGGAGCAAACATCTGATGTCTGCTTTTAAGCAGAGTTTAAGATATGTTCCAGAAGTTGAACTAGAATTAAATATTAGTCATCAATGACATGGCAGAATAATAATGATTTTGCAATTGGTGAGCCAATCCCCTTTAACCAATGTCAGGTCAAGGAGACACACAATTGTGAAGTTCACTGCAGTCAGATTCAGTGAGACTTGACCAGCAACTGTAAATAAAACCAGAGTGACTCCATTCACTTCGAAAAAAAAAAGCAATTTGCTCTCCATTAGTGACACGAAATCAGGGTTGGGCAAAATTCTGTTGTCAAGGGCCATTTTTGATGTTCACTGCTGACAGATGAACATGGTCAATCAAAGATGAGGTTAATATATATATATATATATATA